ATCTACCCAACTACATCTACTTCCAGTCACTTTCCGTCTACATCACTTCCCCATTAATTTCCCTCCCTCCCACCCAAAAGTAACACCTTATAGCACTCTCCATGCACAAATTCTGCACGTCTGAGATTCAAGTCTCGTTTTTTCTCATATTCCGAGTTTCCCGTCGGTTGCTGCTTTGTACTTATTTACGTTGTTCAATTTTTCATAGGGTCCTTCGCTGCCCTCGCACGAAGGACCCTCTTGCTGGCTAATCCTCGCCGCCTGCGCTTCCGCGAGGCTAAGTGAGACCAATTAGATTGATCACAGACGTGCACGCTGATGTAAGCTTCACAAGGCCACATATGATCATACACGCTATGTGTTGTTTAGTTGATGACCAAACAACTCATTTGGTGCCTACGAATCTGAAACTCTCGTTCTATAGTCAGTACTTCAGTGGTGACTCACATATTCCTCATCGTCATTCCATTCCCCACTGACCTCACCTTACAACTGCGCGCCAGCCTGACCCTGCAAGCTATCAGTTCTACTTGGTTCAAAATGCCCTACAGCATATCCTTCTGTGGGTCTCCGTCGCATTCAACATCTTCATATCGCAGATTGTCGCTACTGCACGGCCGAGCTCCTGCAAGCTTGAAGGACGGTTGAAAGAAACAAGGAAGTTATAAAGAACAATTGTGATGTTGCGAAGGATGGTGCGGGAAGCACGTGGAACTGGGTACACCTCAAGAGGAGGCATAAATGGAATTGCAGGTGAAGGCTCAGACCTGATGTAATTCTTTCATGAATGCGCTGATTTAATGTCGTAGGACATCGTGAGTAGTTTCACTCTCAAGACACCCAGTTTCAAGTCTGGGAAAGATGTCGGAGTCTGCACTGACTATAAACTCAAGATATGACAGCCTACGCATAATCCTTAGTTTATAGTCAGTCCAGGCTCAGCTGTCGCCAATTGTTGGGGGAATGTCTCCGATCCAAAGGTCAAACATACACAGTTCATGTACCTACATCGCCGAAGTAGTGTGTCAGCCATCGACTCGAGCTATTTGCCGTTCAGTGAGGCCAGTTGTGACCGGTCTCTATATTACAGGGTGGAATATCGACTGCTATTTTACCTCCCGCCGAGGACATCTCCGAGATCCTGCGTCTCTCGTTCAGTCTCCCTCGAACGTCACTACTCACTCGAAAACAGATCCGCGTTTGATTAGGTGGCAATGAAGAGGATCACAACAGCTATATTGAACATAATTGCAAACGAGAGGCTGGTAAACTTCCTTTTCTTTGATGTAATTCAGATGTACCGCCGACTCGTCAGTCCTAGGCACACGATTAACAATTCAAGCGCACTAATTGAATGACATGGACGCCTACTAACTATTGAACTAACTACGAACGCAGCATATGCGTCATCTGCTTTTCCACAGTCCAGAATCAGGGAACTCGCTTAGTATGGATGGGCTGGATGGAGATGTGATCTCCACCGCCCGATGACGCATAGGATCGCCGCGATGCATCATGGGAAGGTGCTACTAATTGACTGGGGTCAAAGCTGCTACGTGTACTCATTGGTGCCAGGAGTAGCGTGCGGGATACGTAATATAATACCAAGTCAATCATCTACATGGGTGTCGCTGACATTTTACCTAAGGGTCTGAGCAGGGTGAAGAAAGTTTGGTCATGAACATGAGACATGATGCGGATTCGAGCCAGACTAGAGAAATCGGCAGTATAATCTAAATGGCCCCACCGGGATGGAGTAGTCAGTGACACGACAGTGATTAGGGATAATGCGGAAATGAGATGATAGTATTGTTCCATAGGGTCATCTAGACGAATATCATGTTCAATGTACATAGGATGGCACGAGCCAGTGTGAGATCACCCTGTAAAGACACGAAAGGGAAAAGAGACAACTATCATTGGATGACAGACAGGGTTTCAGCAGATGTAAACTCATGCCTGATGCGAGGCGGGACGACGACGACCAAAGAAAAACCCACAGCAGCTCACTCCTTCATAGACAATGTCCCCCGCTCCACCAGTTGAGCCTTGTTGTGTTAGTCGTCCTTGAGACCCTTGTGCGTCCACTGTAGGTTGTCCGGGTGTCGTTGAACTGTCAGCATTGTTGTCATTTAAGCGTTGCATAGCTGCCGCCGCTTCTTCGTCAGTCTCGGGAGCAATGCCATATCTCTGCAAATTTATTTGAATAGTAAGAAAACAGGCGAATATTAGTGGTGACGAGCGACTTACGTCATCCTCGCGACAAGGAGCAACAACCGAGTCGACAGGCTGCTTCGACATTCTCATGGGAGATCTGAAATTCCAACGCCTGGGCTGGAGCGGTATTGCTCGGGGTACATTTGCAGATGAAGTGCTGAAACCCAGTGAACCGAATAGATTACGCCAATGAGTGGGGGATGATGGGCTCGTGGGAGGCGGAGCTGCACGATGAGGTGTGTCGTTCCTATCAATGCTCCAGAAGTCATTGCCCTGTATCAGGGTCAACCTTGCAAGAGCTCAGGAACGAAAAGTGATACTGACATATTTCCCCGACCCTCTGGTGTTCGCCCGATGTCTGGAGACCAGAAGAGGGTCAAAGTTCTAACGAGATGAATGAGCGTTTGAAGAATTAGTTAACAATTGATTGGCGCACATCTCTCGGTCGGGTTGCACGTCCCTGATAAAAAGTGAGATGCCGTGTGAAAGAGAAGCAGAGTTAACTTGCCTTGAGCTTTGCGTCGGGTTTTGCATTGCGATAATGGCTCTGAATGACAAGCAAGCCCACTTAGAAATAGACTGACAACATAAAAGCACACTCACATTATCATGATCCTGCTGTTTGAGCGCTGCCTCCAGGTTCCATACATAGATTTTTCCGTCTAATCCAGCACTGACGATGTGTTTGCCATCAGGGGATATAACAAGAGTGCGGAGTTCGTCATCGTGCAAGAGTGGGTCTCCAACTGGCTGATTGGTCTTCAGGTCCCAGATGCGAACTGAGTAATCCATTGATGCGCTAACAAGATGACATTCATCCGGGGTCAGACTGATGGATACGACGCTGCTGGTATGACCTCGAAAAAACAACAAGCTCCTGCCCATCAATCAACCGCCATTTTCGGATGGTGTAATCGGCTGACGAGGAGAAGATGTGTGCGCCGTCCTTGGACCAACACAACGACTCTACCGTGTATTCATGTCCTTTGATCTCGATGAGCAGCTTGCCGTCCTTTGAACACACGCAGATCATCTTGTCCTCGCCGCCGCTCGCGAATTTGTCGCCTTGTGGAGAGTATTTGACAGCATATACCCGACCGTGACTGGTCTCTATTGGTGGTGCTATTTCTCGGCCAGTATCTGGGTTCCAGCGTCGTATGGTGCCGTCTTCCGATCCACTTACTATCTCCAGGGCATTGGGAGACCAATCAAGGCCTATCACTGGAGCAATATGCCCCTCCCACGGGTTGCGGACCATGCTGCCCTCTTTGATGTTCCACAACCGTAGCCTGCCGTCTGCGCTTCCGCATACGACCATCGTTTCATCCGGAGATCTTGCCATTGAGCCTACCCCTCCTCCGTCACCACCCCAAGGCTTCCCTACAGGCTCTCCGTCTCTCGTCCACTGCCGAATGGAACCATCTTCCGAAATGCTCATGATATTGCAATTGGCGCCCAAGCAAGCAAGACTCCATATGAGTTTGGAGTGACCCTCAATAATGCACTCCGGCGTCAAGCTCCCTGGTGGACGTTCTGGTGTTGGTTTCTTCCACGACGTGGTCCGAGTGTTGTGATTGACGAAGTAGGACCGACCGAGTGGTGATATATGCCATTCGCATCCGGAAACAACAAGATACCCGGGATAATCTATGCTCAACCATGAGTTCCTCGCTCATAGTGCTACATTGTTCTTTCACCTAGTCGTACCCCTGGTAAAGGTCGGTTCCATGAACTCATTACAAGTGAATCGTCTTGATACCGCGTTATATTATCCAGTATCCGAAACTGGCACCATTCAGGAGGGAGCACTTCATTCCCGCCTGCTTGTGTTGAGTAAGTCAGCAAGCATAACAATGCGGTTGCTCACCTTCCCAAAGTGCATCCTGGCGGTCCTGTGCACCATATGGTGGCGGATTCTTCTCGCTCCTCCGAATAGGTTTAACAAACGCCCGTGAGTCTGACAGCGCTTTTCGTCCCACATCTCTCCGCCTTGCTGACGCGGTTGCCTCTGCCTCTTTGCGGGGCATGATCCCAATTGAAAAAGGTTGCCGTGAGGGAACGTTCGATAACGTGCCAAACACCTGTACCTGTAGTATTGAAGCTTCAAAGTGTCAGATTAGACACAAGCCTTGATGCAAAAATGACTCTAAACTTGTGAGAGTGAAGCATCAAGTCAGAGACACTGCCCACCCTACTAATCCCTTTGACCATGAAGCATCAAGCTCTAGAGTGTTTTGGTCCACATTATACCCACACATGATATTTTCGCATTTTCCAGCCCCAGTGTGGGAATTATGTCGGAAATTTCCTATTTGGGTTACATGACCTTGCAACGTGTTGCAATGACCCAATGACAAGCCTAGGTTTCAACTGTGTTGCAATAAAAGAGTCTCATGTTCCAATTATGTTCCAATTATGTTCCAATTGGGTCACAATCGAGCCTTTCAACCAAAATTTCAACCAAGTTGGGCAATAATAGCAACCGTCGAAACTGATTTCATTATACTTTGAGATCCAGATCTCAAGGCCTGTTTCAATAATGTTAGAATAAACATGCTTAGGTTTCAAGTCAATTCGGACATCCTTGAGACTGAATAAATTTCATTGTAACAATGTAACCATTCAAATATCAACAAATGATATTCTGATCTAATATATATAATACTCTACTACTACTACTACTACTACTACTACTTCTTGCGGGTTCTCACTGGCCGACCACATTGCTGCTCTGCTGTATTACCCGACAATGAAACCAGTGCAAGTACCCCAGCCTTTTTGCCTCAGCCCCGTCGAGCAGATGATGACCCAGAGGCTACAGCTTGTGACAGGGTCTCCCCATTGCCAGGTATGTCAGAAACTGCAGTGACATCTGGTCCATCAGTAACGACGGCAGCAACGACGGCAGTAACAGCGGCAGGCACAATGGGCGGGAATTCGTCGGTGGCCATGGTAACAGCAACTATAGGCACATTGACAGTATTGCCTGTGAGCGAGACCAGAAGTTGAACAGCGGATCTGGGAACTGGGTTAATGATAGTTTCAGTGGCCTGAGGCGACATGCCAGGGGTGATAGCTGGTACAGTGGGAGGGACAGGTGGTGCAATGACAGCCGGAGTGTCAATTGTTGGTGAAGTAGGGGTTAGGTTCTTCCCAAAGTGTGACCCATAGTTGCTTGTAGGCCGTGAACATGGCTGCATACAGTAGTCGAGACCTTGCACCAACTTCATCTTTAGTGAACAAAGTGTCCGGGGACAGAATAAATATCAACTAAACAATCATTAGACACTGAGAACTGATGATAGTAAACAAGGGACGACTTACCACAACCCAACCCCAGGCAAGAAGGCCAGGGGTGTACAATGTTATGCCCCACTTTCGAGCGTTACATTTGGCACGTGGCCACCCAACAATGTCCAGCGAATTTTTTCCAAACATTACAATTCTAATCGCCTGTTATACACATTAGTACAAGCACAGTTTCTTCAGGCAGCCATAACAAAAATACCTTTGCGAGCGGTTCCCAGTTACCAAAAACCATTGACATCGTTGGGTCCATTTCTTGCCTTGTAAAAAGGACAGGTGGAAACTTCGAAGATGATTGACCAAGCAGCTTCTGGATTTCGAGAATTGTATCTCGCTTTGTAAAGCTGGTGTTGAAGTAGGAAGAATCAAGACCAAAAATATGCCCTGCCATCACTCGCAACTTGCCAATCTCGCTTGAGCGACCGCCTTGAAGATGGTGTCCCAGCTGTGGTGTTATATACCAATAATCAATTTGCTAAGATCACACAACATTGAACTTAAGGCCACGTACCAATGATTGGAAATGAGTAGTCGGTACAAAGCGATGGAGATGATCCGGGAGAAGTGAGTATAGCTCTGTTACGAGACAGAGTTCTTCTGCGCTCTTGGTTGCATAGTGACTCCCAGATAGGATGGCAGGTGGAGGATTTGGCACAGGAAGTTTGAGGATGCAGTGTGTGGGTGGGAACATCTCTGCAATGATACCGTACTTGCGGGAAAAAGTTGCAAGTTCAGCGTCAAAAGCCTTCAGCTCATCTGGAATTTGGGTACTCGAAGATGATCGCCATTGATTGGCTGATAATGTTTTATTTGTCTCGCCTAAAGTACGATTTTTGTTCTTGAGTGTTTGGTTTTTGAGTTGTAAGCGCCGAATGATCTTCAAGGAACACAATTAGGAGAGCATATCATAATAGTTGCAGGAATGAAACATACCTCCATGTCCTCGTGTTGCGGCATTCAACCATTCAAGACCAATGGCTGATTGCTAATTGATGAGACCCCTGCAGACGGACCAGAGTCCGATTCATATTCGGACGAGTCAGAGCTATCAGGCATGTTAACTTGACAAGGAGCCTGCTGGGGCATGATAGGAGGGATTTGCGCAGTAAATTGGGAGACTGGTGGCCACAATGAAGTGCGATGGGTGATGGAGAATTTGTAGTCGAAATTTGCTGTGCGTCGACAACCGAGCAGCGTCTGATTCAGAATCAGCACAAAGGGAAGATAGTCCATGCGGCAAATTATGTGCATAATGGACTTGATAACATGTAATATATCAGAAAGCAATACGAATCAGACATGAGGTAGTTTACCAGTGTGGCGCCTGGACCATATCAATATCCAGCAATGCAAAGACCCTAAATCATGAAAGATGAGTAAAAAGGTCACAAGGCGCAACATAATTTGAGCGCACCGTTTCGAAAGTAACAAGCGATGACAAAATTTTGATGTGGTGCTGTGATATTAGGCAGGCTATTAAGCATTGAGGCCGTCAATGCATCACATTTACGTGGAGTCTGAATCTGAATCAAGGTTGAATAATAGCTACCATCAGTCCATGATTCAGGTTCATCCTAGAGGCAATGTTGAATCAATTCAGAGTCTTGCTGAGGACTCGATGTAACAGTTACAGTGAAGGTTAAACATTTGAATCAAGGTTCTGAATCGGCGATGGATGTTGGAACCAACGGACTTGGCCGAAAATACGATGTCAGCTTATCACATAATGCTGTAACCGTCATGCTCACTGTTGCAGTTATTATTACTGTAATATTTGAATTGATTTAAATGAGAGTCATTGAAGAACTAATAGAATGAATGTCAGTTCACGAACTGGACCTTGTCAAGGACATACAATAATCGGGGGTAAGGGTAAGTTAATTTTAAAAGTCTAAGGGACAATAATTTAAAGTTCTTCCTCCCCAGTCAAGAATTCCTGCTCAATGATGACAGCATAGGCATCAGGTGATACACTTGATAGTCTCAGGGTATTACAGGTAATGCTTAAGGTTATGGCTAAAGAGCAAGCAAGCAAAATTGGTGTGCATACCCTTATCGCAGCTGATGATTCAGAGCTCATTGGAGATCTGAGCTGATCTGACAATCCTTGATGTAAGTGTCAATGAGAAGTGAGCACATCTTGGAGTAAATGTTCTCCATCATTATTTGGAAGCCGTAGAAGCACCGAACCTCAGTAGCCTTGGAGAAATGTTGTCCAATCAGGTTCTCATTAACAAGGGAGGAATATCAACATTTACCTTTTCGCCACATAGATCAACTGCTTCTCTCAACTCTGCATCTCCGTCTGCGTCACCTTTGCCTGTCTGCATCTGGATCCGTGTTGGGGCATTCCATTGTGATCCCAATGCACACTCTCAACTGGTAGGGGTCCCCTGTCAATGAATCACTAGCGCGATGATTCTTGGCTCACGCAAAGTGATGAAACGATGATGTAAAAAGGACGTAGTATGCATGCGAAAATGAAAGTGTTAGGGTGTGAAGTGTGTAAGTGTAGGGGGAGGGTTGAAAGGAAAAAGTAAACGCAAAATGCAAGGCAGGAACGAAATATGCAAACAAAAGGGAGATGTAGGAGGGACGAACCATGGACCTCCTCTCATCCTAACTCCCCGATCCTTCAATCTCCTCATGTTCAGTTGCCTTCGCATTGGCACTTGCCTGCATGGATTGGGGCTGAATGCCAGGTGTTCAAGGGTGCTCGAAGGTGTGTGCAGATTGCGTGGCGACAGTGTGATGGCGTGAACAGGTGTGGGTGTGAAGTTTCATGAGGGCATAGGTGCCATATAGCATGGGGTGCGTGAGGTTGGGTGAATGTGTGAATGGTGGCATGCGCAAAAAGGATAAGGGCAATGGTAGACGAGTGACGAACCTCTGCCAGTGTCTGAATCCTTATAGTATGAGTATGCGTTTGTAATCAGATGATGACCCATATAGACTGGTTGACAGAGTGTCCATGAACGCAGCTATGGCCATGACCAAGAAGGCGGTCGTTGTAGACCTATGGATATCATGTACACTTAGTATAAATAGGACAAATCATGAGAATCGTACATGTCAAACAGCCACCTTGCCCTTCTTCGCTATTTTGATGCCCAGCTTGTTCTTCAAATCTGATTTCGGCTTCTTCGCGGGCGGCACACCAACAGATTTGGCATCTAGTAATACTCATGTCGATTCTGGAAGAAGACTGTGCAGATCAGGCTCGATGTCATCAACCTTCCACTTGATGGTGACCAGTTGTGGCGCAGTCGGTTCGATGGATGTATCTCCAGAACTCTCTGCCGCCACAGGAGAGCTACCTGATAGTGTGGGCATCGACACCTTGGAAAACACCTCCCTCACCAGCCTCTCATCCTCTTCTTCTGCGAGTCTCCACTCCCTGTCCTCTTCTGTTTCCTCCTCCTCTGCAGTCAATTGAGCAACCAGATCCACTGCTTGCCCCACACATTCATTCTGTGCGTTCCTGTGCCCGAATGTCTTGGAGAGCATCTAAGATATCCATCTCCCATTTTGCATCAACGGTGTGGTTCTCTAGTAACCTATTAATAACCAGCCTCTGTACAAATTTCCTTCATTCGAAGGAATATATCTGTGTCAGTCGTATCAACAACCAAGAACTCATTCGCTCTGGTACTATCCTCTGCCAATACACAACCCCGGATTATTGACTGGACTGAAAAGCACTCAGCAGAGGCTCTGGGCTTCGCCTTGACTTGCCAAAATTTGAAGTCTTTATCCTTCTGCGGTCGAGTGCCCACCGGTTGATCGTATGGGAGTGTGAGTGCGATAGGATATGCGACATCCCCAACTGTGCAGGTGAAGACTAACAACAGTTTGGCGAAGATAGGACCAGATTCTGCCTGCAGGATGACACAATTGTATTGAGGTGATCCATTGGAACATTGGATTACATCGGAGATAGTCCATGGAACTTCGCCAGTCAACGAGTGACTCATAGCTGACTTTAATAAATCTGAACTCGGTTATCTGAGCAAGAGGTGAGATATTATCAGTAATGTCATTCGAGGGCTGCAGATGTTCAACACACCATGTCATTCGCAGCAAGTTGGATGTGTCTTCCATTGGGAAATAGTATGTCGTTAGTGATGAATGCATGATTCGAAAAATTCATTTAGTTTGATCCATGAATTGATCAAAGGCTGCATCACCTGCAGTTAGTTGCTTCGATATCCACAAATGATTTGGTTGCCTGCTGCGAACCAAGACTAAAATGCTGTATATCAGTTGGTTCATCGGTTGATTCGAGCCCATCTGAATCAACCTCCGATGGATCAGGCACAACTAATGAACCGAGATTCTGTGCATCGAGGCACTCCATCTTGCTATGAATATATTCCTGCAACTAAGCTATCATGGTTGTATCGGAGAATCTTTAAAATATGTTGCTCCATCAGCACTCGGTTCACATTGTATCTAAGAGGCCACTAATGCGTTACCTGTTCTGCGAAATTCTTGAAGTTTGTACAATCTTGATAAGCATCCTTCAGTGGGCCGTGCATTTTCTCATTTCGGCTTTGTATTGTAGTTTCGGGTGACGCCCTTTGCCTCGATGTCATCGAAGAGATGAGCAGAAAGATGCATCTTGGGAAAATTCCAAGACTTCTCCGAGAGGTCTGCTGTATCTTTGATATATATCTGACTCGTAAGTCTGAATTAGTAGCATCAATTGACGATATACACAACAAAACATACATCCATAAGTTCCGTAAGCTCCAACAACGTATTTCGGCCATCCCTGATCATATCCTCGGTGTGAACCTCTAGCAATGCATATGTGTTGAATTCCACATAACTCCGAATACAATGAAGCAGGAGATAAGCCTGTGGATCCAGATCACGCTTAAATACATTATGGGCAGCGAAAACAATCAGCTATTAGATGACATGAATAATTTATCTAAAGCTTGATAAACAAATTGAATACACATACCTTCGATATATCTTCATATTTCATTCCATCAGAAAAGGATATTGATACCACCTGGTCGAAGTAATTCAAATTTCACCAATGCACGGAAATGATTCGAAGCTGGCAATGTAAATTATCATCTACCTACTACAGACAAAAAAAATACTTGCAAAGCAGTCAATTACCACTGCAGCTTGTCAACCAGAATTAGTGATCCATTTTTGCAATTCCATCCACAGGTGATCAAACTTTCCCTTCATTATTAAAGTGAAGTTTGTCAAATGATAGAGCTTCGGTAGACATCGGTGTGCTCCATGGTGTCAAATGCACTCTGACAGTGACAGTGATAAATGAAACAAAATTGAGGTGAAAGACTTACATTGACATCACGGAGGCTCTCTGAGCTCAATACCTGCTCTCTTGCTTCCAATGTTGTAGACTCTCGGGCCTGAGCACGTAATGCCTTTGGATCTTCAGACGTGTGAAATTGATGTGTTTAATCCCTTGGAGAGTTCCTCACGAGGAACGAGGCAGACAGGGCAAGGAAACTTTCCCATTAGACCATGAATCAATGCCATCACGACCCTGTAATACTTTCAGGTTCAGATATTACCTGGTAACATTGAGATCACTCATTGTTCTTCATAGTCCGCAGAGAGTATGAGTATGATTGGATAGAAAGTGCGGACAACATCATCCCAACATTTAACAGAAGAGCCGAGCCTCGACAGTGGTGCGAGACAAGCGAGCAGCTTCAAAAATGATGTATGCCACACGGCATTTTTGAAATTAACGAAGGCAGGCTTTCTGGAATGTTTCTTGTCTTCTTTTACCTATCGAAGTGCTGGTATTAGTTAGTAATAGCATGATCATCAAGTAAAGCAAAAGCTAACAATGGGTAACCAACCCACAACTCACCCGCCACCCAAGCCCTCACCATTACGAACAGCAACAGGAAGATTAGCGCACCACGCAACTACCAGATAACCTTTTGCATGACCAAAGGATGATAATTTGGCCTTGTCTGCATAGAGGATAAACGCAAGTGGTTTAGCATCTGATGGTATCTGTCATATACCGGATCCGAGTACCCCCAGTACCACCTGTGAACATCCCCACCCCTGGTCCGACCCCCTGTTTCCCCGTCCACTCCATTCCTCCTTCCCTGACAATGCACGAAGTGCATCTCAGCAGGATTAGCCCTGCTACCTCCACCTGACCCTGTTCCACTTTTCCGACACTACCCCTATGTCCCCCAACCCCATACCCCTTCCATCCGACCCTATCTGGGGTTCCACTCCTCCGCCCTATCGGTCCGCCCAATCCTACTCCTACTCCCTCCGCTTTTCCGACCCACGGTGGTCCTTCAGTTCTGCTTGTATTCCCCCACCCGACTGTTAGTCCGTCTGACTGCCTCACCGGTCCACTCCTAGACTAGGAACCACTCAACTGGTCCTATCCCCGTTTAGTATCATAGTTCCGCTTTTCGGATCACCAGTGTGGGTACAACAAGTGCAGCAGAGAGAAATCAATCTACTACAAAGTCGGGTCTTTGCTGCCTACTGCCTCACTTGAGAACAACCATGTTCGACCCTAAAGGGGATTGCTACTGGGGAGTGCTAATCTCTGTCTAAACGACCCTAGTCAACCCTACCGCAGGTAGGATGAGGATCCGCAAAAATTTAGAACAAGCGGAACAAGCGGAACAAGTGGAACTCGTGCGGAACAAGCGGAACCCGAGCGGAACTCAAGCGGAATGAAAAGGAATGAAACGGAACTCAAACGGATAAAGCGCGGAACGTACTGATTCGTCGGAACTTGCAGACGAAGTCGAAGGAAGTATATCACGAGGTTAGATTGATAGTGGGCATAAGTCAAAGCGGTCCTCTAGTAGGGTGAAGGGAAAGTGGGAAGGTAAAAGATGGGATTCAATCCCAAAAACACCCAAGCCCTGAGTACCCCTACTTAAAGGGAAGATTATTTTCAAGGAACACTGAGGTACAGGTAGTAAGTCTCTCAGGAAGCGGAAGTGAAGGCAGGCAGTGCACATGGGCGCAATACTCCGGAATAGGGGTCCGTGCCATAAGGGCATGTGTCAGTTTGATCCGGATAACATTAGGAACAGCAGGAAGAGAGATACAGCGTACCAATGGGCCTGGAAGGATGGGGACAGGACATACGAAGGTTGTCCGACAATGTGTGGGAATACCGGATAGTGCGGGCGGGTTCCGAAGGATGCGCGGGAATATGGAACACATTGGACAATGCGCGGGAAATGCGGAACGTGCGGAATCAGCAGAACTGATGTGAGACAATGCGGAAAGGACGGGGCTTTACACCTACAGTGGGGGAATTCCCCACACCGGTAATCCCTATACCCTAGCAATTCTGATCCATTGCGTACATACTGTTCCCCGAGCCTTATTCTCGTATGTCTCAGTCATCCTATTGTAATCCTGTACACTCAGCACATAGCCCTCTGCTATGCTATGCTCATCACTTAGAGTATATAAACATATGTACATTTGTCTGTAGATACTCAATCTGAATATTACCTTTTCTAAGCCCTGCTCTTCTGTTCTTTGACTTGGGCCTGATCCTAGTCAACTCCTGTTAAGCCGGCCTAGAGGATGGACTCCCTAGGTTGGCCATCCTCCGATCCTCCGTTCCCCCGATCCTCTGTTCCTCTGTTCCCCCGTTCCCCCATTCCCTTGTTCCCCCGCTCCCCCGTTCCTCCGTCCCTCCACTCCTCTGACTTCCCGTGCATCGGAACTAGACCCTGCACTCTCACATCTGTCCCCTCCATTCCACTCTGCTTCAGACTTCATCCAAGCAGTTTCTTCCGCTCTGCTTCTACTGTTGGTTCCAACCGCAGTAGTCTCCCGCTTCCCTCCTGTCAGGCATAACAACCCCCACCCGACTTTCCTGCACTCACCTAGTAGTCCGTTGGTCCTCCTTCAGAGGACCCCTGTTCCGACATCCTGTCAGAACTCATAGAACTCATGTCGGACTACATTCCGAAATTAGGGGCACATACTTGGGTAAGGGGCGCAGCGTACGAGCTGAAGCCAAGCCCCTCAGACTCCGCTTTACCCCTGAGCACGGTCTTAACAGTATCTTCGACTGTTATGAAACTCAATTATTAGTATACCGTAACGCACATTGAACTCATAACACAAATGATAGCACCACATACCTGATATTCCCAGAAGGCATCAGCAGTCCAAGGCTCGTGAATATACCGAACGAATTTCTCACCATCGAACCTCGAAAGCTGTTGGGCATCGAAAACGAAATGTGGACCAACTTCAGGATCCTGAAGTAAGTCCACAGCCCAGTCCCATAGTGAGTGATGAAAAAGCGGAAAGGTCTGGTCAACGCCTTGGAAGGGCACAACAACCTCTTCCTTCGTAAACTATAATATGGTATTCAAAGTAAGGATATATTCTACACTCAAAGTGATTGGATACAAATGGGAGTCAATTTGAACGAGGCTGCATCCCACGTGTCTCGCACGTCTTTACGATTCCGAAGTGTAAACAACTCACATCTACTGCAATGAATAAGTCTGATGAACCAGTCTGTCTGCTCATGAGTTAGCACAGCTTCATGAGCAAGTTTGGCCACTTCAAAGTCAATACGAGTGCGAAATGGACGCCAGGGCTCAGGATCGACTTTCGGAGGCGCTGCTGGAGCACCAGGGCCACATCTATAATCCTCGAAGTGGTAGACTTGTGTAGGGCACCCGCTGTTGGGGTGATACCGGACTTGGATATCATCAACTTCGAATTGAGATACAGGTGATGCCGTTCTGGATGGCGGCAGATGATCTAAAATACAGATGAAAGTTGCAAGCTCGGACGCACAGAAAAATTGTTGAGACATAGCAGGTTCAGATGTATCATCTGGATGATGTATTGGACCACTGAAGTCGATATCAATGTCCTGCGAATGATTGAGGATAGCTTATCAATAGCCGAATGAGTTAGGATCAGTGATTCAGGTCGTGAGACAATCACGACTCACTAAAAGCAGATGGTCAGTTCAGCCAACAAAAACACTACCTTGCTGCGCATGTTCTCTCTCTACAATGTGTTGACATTTAGTATTTTAGTGTGAAGCTGTAATGTTTGAAACAATGAACATACCTTGTCGAATAAGCCTTGCAAGCTCAATGTCCTCTCTTCTTTGTTCGTATTCGCTTCTGGCAAGCATTCTCGTGTGTTCGAAATCCTTGATGACGGTATTGTGTGTTACAATATGAACATGTCCGGAGTGTGGGGCCAGGAGGCATCGAGATCGGTTTTGATTCAGTGGCGAGTCCAAGACACCTAGGTAAAATTCCGTTGAAGGTCTTATTCATTATCTTATTAGGCCTGGGGTAACTTAAATACTATTGAAAATGGGGGGAGAGTCACCTTTTTCCAAGTCTTCGCAGAGTCTGATGGAGAAATGCTTGATTCAGACTGGCAGAAAATTGAGTGTCTGATAAGCTCTGAGGGTCTGGATATTCAGTCGGTCTAATATTAATACTAAAAATCAGTCTAATAAGACTCAACGACTGTAATAATGCACCTTGTAGACTATTATAATTGTGCAATTTGACAGTTCAATCCATCTGAGGTGTCATTGTGTCAAAAAGTAGGATCCAGGGAGCTGAAAGGATGGTGGTAGGAAGCAACACTGTAACAGCGACGTGATTCATTGACAGATAATACATAATCGAATCTGATATATTATCATTACTAATAATAGGTACATAATGATGTCAAAACTCAGTATCAATAATATGACTCACTTTCAATGTCCCAACTTCGGTGTGAATATTCCTACTGGGTACCAATAATAGAACTCAGGTGCGAAGGTCTCAACTCGGTATCAATATGGTTGGAACCAAGTCTCAGAGGTACGTGATTGCAACCGACTTAGGAAATTTCCGACATACCCCACAACACCAAAAACATCGCCCATTTTGGGAATCTCCACAATAGGTCCCCTTGTATCTGAGTAGTAGTTTTGTATATATCTGTATAATATAATGAAACACTTTTTTTATTCATCTGTGATAGGTCTCCCTTTCAAAACGATGTAGGGTACAAAACATTTTCGCACTTTTGTCCCTTTGATAGGGAAGTGTTCCAGGGCATTAAGAACATGTTTAGGAGTATATATGAAGAGATTTCCATCTTTATTTGACTCCCTGAAGCGCCCTGCATCAATAGATATAGCATACATACAGGAACATACAAAATATGTTCCATGTGCTTATTTCTAGGTGGACATACTTTGAAAAATGATCCCCAGCATCTATTCAACATTAGAAACAATGTATCAGGAGCCCAGGACCATAGGATAAGACCTTGTTGTATAGTGTACCCCCCTCTCCTAGTGGTATACCCCCTGCAAAACTTTTTCCTGTAGGGCCAGACGGTAGACCTCAAGGAGGGTAGGGGGTCTATTTCTATGTATATTTATAGTAGATAAATCACGTAGCTAGCCCAGGACACCTACAGGGTCCTTCTACAGGAACAAAATTTGACAAATCACAATTGTGACATTTTTGATGTGTTTTACCATCATTGTGGAGATTCCCAAAATGGGCGATGTTTTTGGTGTTGTGGGGTAATTCCCACAGAGCCCCAAGGGGTCCTGGAGAAGCCAGGAATTTGAAGAGAAGCTGTGGGAGAAGTATGCAAGCATATACTAGAAATGGGAGTAGCCAGTGCATCCTTGGTGCATCCCAACTCAAACATCTTATGCATCATGAGAAACCTTGAAGCATCAACCTACACATGTCAGAGAACTAGACACATTTTGCATCAAGGTCTGTGTCTAATCCCACACCTTTTTGCTTCAATCTGACACTATGGCCTGCCAATACTGACTGACACCTCTACCAGCGCTTTCGCCAGGTGGAAATTCAGGACCCCTGGAAGGTGGTGCAGTCAGCAGTAGTAGAATTCCATTGAACCATAACTGTAGCAAGGGCTACACTTGGTGTGGCATAACAGCCCATGGTACTTTGTCACTAGCCCAACATTAGGGATCAGGGACCATAACCTGAATATCATATTTGTGCCACTTGGAGTGCTTGTCTGTGTGTGCTAGCTGGAAAACCTGTGGCTTCCACATAAGGCTTGCATGGGAGTTGCAGGTGGTCCATCATGATGGAGCTCTTTCCTTGATCATTATTCTGGACTCTCTGCTCCAAAAAGTGGCTGACTATACTTACCTCGCACAACAATAAACAGATAGATACTCCTGCCAATCATATCTGATAGTATGAGCAGCATAATTCTTTCAAGTGATCATCTCAGCACCTGTAATGATTCCAGCAGATGCCAAGTTCACTGATAAGCTGAGAAGAGCAAAATTATATCGCAGAAAATACCATGTCATTCTGGATTCATACCTCACCAGTGTGCGGACATAAAATTATGAAGCATGATTTACATAGGTTGCATCATGACAAGTATGCAGGGTATCTGGAGGTTCAGAAGAAGTGTTGTAGGTTTTTTTGAGGCCCTGCGGGGACTAGAGGGGTGATCTTACTAGGGGAATTGGAGGTCTGGCAGTAGCCTTGGGAATCTAGAGGCAGATAGACCAGCCAACCACTGTGGAATGTCATGTAGAATTGATAAATGACCCTTGAATTGCAAAATAGCAACTGGCGAAGCTATTAGTGTTCATCATGGTGGGAGGTCTTGGAAGGTTCCTTTGATGTGACATGGGAGTAAAATTTATAATTTTTGGCTGTCATCTTGTGACTCACCAGTGACGACCAGGAAATGGATTCAGTGTCTAGCAGCCAAAACAGTATGGACAAGGGCGCAATGTTGCAATTTGCAAAGTGATGATAAGTACTTATCTCAGAACTAAAATTTGTCTCCTCACTAGAATCTGGAACAACTGTTCCCCAATTGTGATCCTGAGTCACTGACATTATTTATGCGTCCAAACATTTGGCAAAAAGGGAATCATACAAAATTGATGATGCATCCAGTGCTTTCGAGAGTTTCAGATTCGTTGTGACACGCAAAGGGATAAACTACCACTTCTTCAGTGTTTAGATGCCCAGCTGGCAGTGGATGACTTTCCATGGGCAAAATAATGCAGAATAGAATGTTTCGGAAGTCTCAAAAACATTACCAATAACAAAGATATGTTAATCTATACTAGAATAATCCCCCGTATGCTCAGCCAATAGATTTAGTCCAGTTCTCAATGTGATGGACAATGTTGCAGTCCAGTACCTGCTTCTTGATGAAGATGAGGCAGACCTTTTCAATGACGATGAAAGAGCTTGGGTCCTGGCTGCTGCTATCATTGCTGGGAGTGAGATATCATGACAAGACTGCATTGACACTCAGCACCCTCATTGTTTATATCTTTGCCAACCCCAACTACTTCCCAATCCTCGCATCAACACCCCATGGCAGGTACTATTTGATAGCCAGAATGATCAAGCCTTCATCACTACAATGGGTGTGGATGTGTCTACCTTTGCACAATGCTGGTATGAGACACCAATTCCTCATGATGACATCTGTGTGCATGGAAATCCATGGACAAATCAGTGCTCCCTTGACGCTGCAGGGGCACTTGGGCTTGTGCTACATTATCTCAGTTCCACTATGCATGCTATCAGCCTACAGCAGATCTTCGCTATCATCCCTAGTACTATCACTCAACCCAGTTTCAGGCAGACAAGATATTTGCAAGTATCCCCACACTGGATCTTGATTGATGGGACCATTTTGAGATGCGAGTGGTAACCATGCACTGTTCAAGTTGTTGGCAGTTGTTGGCGCAATAGTATCAGGTTTCAATTTGACTCAATTGTGATGACTGCGGTTATTATTGTAGTGAAGGTTTTATTGCTTAAGTGCTCTTGTTATCGAAGTATTTTTATATATGCTATAAGGATTACAAATCGTTTACCACCAGAAGTTGCCGAATTAACGCTCACCTCAACCACCACTGCCGTCAACCAGCAAGTCCCTGTCCTCAATATACTGCTAATCCATTATCACTACCAACTCATTCGACCCTTAGCACCCTTCTCTCATCATTATCACCCTATTCATGGTCATCACAGTCTGGACTCAATCTATAATGCTATGTCTCTCTCGTTACTTCGTCAAATATCATACCTGTTTATATTGCCACTCACCTAATCCTTTCGTACCCTTTTCTCTCTGTTCTACTCTACCCTGTCAGGCGCAAAGCCACTCCCTTCAGTGCCCATTTTCACATAATCAATTCAGCATAGCCATATGCAAGGACCCTTAGCTTTTTAAGTATAAAAGTAGCACATGTGCACTCACTATGACAGGAAATAATAACCAGTATCGACTCTCCTTCTTGCACTCATCATCTAACAGTCTTGTTATACCTATCACTTATTGTCTCGAAAACTCACCACACTCCTTATCGCATAACTGTCATTAACGCTAATCTAACTCTCCAGCGCACCCCCAACTACTAGCAGTCTCCAAACCCCTTCGCACTCGTGAGAACCATTTAGGTTCTTACAATGCCTGAGTTGTAATTAGCGTAGATTACATCATCATCATATTTGAAGCACATCAGCACATGTGACTTGGCTCAAAAGCGCTCACAAACCGCTCATGTGCATACTCTTTTCAGTTAGCTCAGGCCATCATCCGTAAATGCTCATTTTAGGTTAAGTTAAACCCTGACACCATTTTAGAGACATCCAACTGCTAAGATCCTTCGATTATCAGAGAGATTTGTACAATATACTATTATTACTAGATTATCTGTATGCATCTGTACTATCTGTACCATCTGTGGCTATCTACTACATCAAATAATTTGAGTCAGATGTTGACAAGCTCTCGCTGACCTCTCATGCCTGCGACAGGTCCAATCACCAACACATAGTTCAAATACTCATCAAATTCCAATTTCTCTGCAGCAGTAAGATTAGCAAATGTGGAGAGGATGTCTTTGAACTTCTTGTTGTGTATTTTCCCCCCAAAGGGGTCCACCTCCAAAATTCCTATTCCCTGTTCGTGCAACGAACAGTAAGTAGCTGCACCGGTGTGGGTACAACAAGTGCAGCGGAGGGAAATCGATCTACTACACAGTTGGGTCTTTGCTGCCTGCTGCCTCGCTTGGGAACAAGTGCGTTCAACCCTTAAGGGGATTGCTACTGGGGAATACTAGTCTCTGTCTAAAACGACCCTACAGAATGAAAGATCTGCAAAAGCGGATGAAGCAGATAGGATGCGAAACATATGGATTCGTCGGATGGAGCGGATGGCACTTGCGGATCAGACGGGATGTGAATCAAAGTTGAAGGAAGTTCATTAAAGGTTGGATGGATAGTGAGTATAAGTCAAAGTGATCTTCTGGTAGGGTGCAGGAAAAGTGGGAGAAAGTTACATGAAGTAAGTATTTTTCGAAACCCTCCATGCTTATAGGGTACAGTATTTTCAAGGAACATAGATATATAGGTAGCGAGTCTAGACCGTGCCATAAGTTATCCGAAAAATACTGGAGTGTGAGAGGATATGTCTGTGTTCAGTCAGTAACAAGAAAATGCGTGTGAGTACGTACCAATGAGGTAGAATGGACGTTGACAGGACGGATGCGGCAGATGCGCGAGCTATAGGAGGAGATCCGAAGGTATCCGCATGTCATCCAAAAAGCGGATGTGTATCGGATGGAATGGATAGGTGTCGGATGGACGTCGGATGGATGCCTGATGCATCAGAAAAGTGGTGGATATGAGCCTAGCATAGGGATACTCCCTACACTGGATACCGCTACAACATATTTGATTGTTTTGAGTGGGGATTCACCGAGAAACGACACCCACCCCCAATACCAGATAAATTGGATAATGTTGCTCATGATAAACATATTCTGGAATTTGGCGAGGACAATTATATTATCATTCTGCAAAAAACGTAGTCGGTAGAAGTAAAGTATTAGATGCAAATGATGTACCTCATCAAAAGAGACAGCATGCATAAACATAAGTGGATCAGTGCCATTTATGAACTGGTCAATCCTAGCTGTGCGATAGTGCTTGGGCAGTAAGGGGTGCCCTCGAGGAGGGAAAAGTTGGAATGTGTGATAAGCGCTATCACGCGCTGTGGGGAACGTCCCCACTGTAGGCCCGTATCACGCATAATTCCCATGCCTTACTACCATCTTCCCATGCATTCTGCTACCATCCCACTACCCATCCACATCTTCCCTGAGCCGTCCACTACACGGAACCAAGCAGAACCCAGCAGAACAATCGCGTACCACACACACCATATCCTTTTAGCCTTTGGAATGTCCTCCTCCGTCCTGTCCTTGTCCTTCCATCCTCGCTGGTGAGTACTAGCTACGTTCCCCGTGTTACTAACATGTTCCTACCTGATTTCATATGTGTTACGGTACTTATACGGATCCTTCTGCTACTCAGGACCGGTTCCTTATCTCACAGCCTCACCTGGTTGTAGCATAGTGCATCTCGGAACCCCTTCCTATATAGGTAGCAATAGATGGGATCTTAGTTTTTTACCTTCTGATAGACTCAACTCCACTTCCACTTACAGAGTACTTCCCAGTACTCCACTCACTGTCTAAAATATCTTCCCGAATCTAGTCCTGATCTCATTACAACGTTCCCGCCCCCGTGAGTTCTGCTCGAAACACCCGACATCGGACCCGACAACTTGGAGCAAGTACCAGACACAAGCCTGGTCCAACTTTGCCCAATCATCCTTCTGCAGGCTCGTAGTTGCTTTTCCCTCCGTTTGTTCCCCGTTTGTTCTGTTTGTTCTGCGTTAGTTCCGTTAGTTCCACTTGTCGCGCATTAGTTCCGCTCGTCGCGCGCTGAGTTCCGCTCATCGGGAACCCTCCGCATCTTTGTGTTCCCAGTCCTAGTAAGGACAGGAACCCTTCGGGTCGCTAGACAGAGTCTAGCCTTTGCTTTCCTCGCACTTATTTGAGGACCTGCTACCCAGTAGCAATCCCCTTGGGACAAGTATTAGTCTCGCACTGTCATATACCTGATCTGATCACTCCAATATTGATATCCGCTCCGCTTTCCAACCCCCTCCGCTCCATCCATCCTCCGCTTCATCCAATCACAAATCTGCATTCCGCCCTATGCTTCTGCTCAACTGCTCAACCGGTCCCCTTCCATAACCTCTCCATTCAACTGGATCTCTTTCCCCTTTTAGATATATACTTTCCCCTTTGGTACATAGACCCTTACTTCCGGATCACCGGTAATTCCTATTACCGCCTGATCGCTGATCCGACGCGTACATATTGATATCCGCTCCGACTTATGTCTTCGCCTGTGTAATGTACTTACAAACTATATCCTTGGTACATAGCTTTACAACATAGTTATCCTGGTCACTGCCTCATACATAGTAGTATATAACATATCATGTACTTAGATATTTTTCCTCAGTCTTAATATTACTTGTCTTCTCGCAGTTATATCTTGTGAGAATTCTCAGTAGGACCTTGCCTCCTCTGGACACAAGTCTCAACTTGTTGTCACCTCCGGCCCTCCGACCCTCCGCTCCGACTTGGGGCCATGCTCTAAGTCTTCCCCTTATAATCCGCCCCTATCAAATATTCTCCCTTGTCCTCCCATATTATCCTCCACCTTCCCCACCTCTACCAACATTCCCCTGCTCCTATCCACTCTCCGCATCACCCCCTGCCTTTTCCACTCTGCTCCTAGTCGGCCTGCCGCTAGTAGCTCTTATTCCCCGACCCTCAAAGCGGACCCAAGCAGTCTATTCATCCTACCGTTGGACAATGTTGGACCCACTCCAAATTCGGGGCACGTACTCGGCTAAGGGCGCAGCACAAGAACTGAAGCCAAGCCCTGACCCCTCTGCTTCCTGAGTCGGCACGGTACCTAACACGCACCCTTATTAGACTTTTGAATCACCCCAGAGTCTATTTTCCTCACCCACAGCGCGAAGTCAATGATTTTGCCACATTTTGAGGATAATGTGTTTCCAACACTTTTACAGTGCACATTGGTTATAAATGCCTGGAAAACAGCTGTGAAGATTAGTAGAGAAGTAAATAATATAAAAATACGAAAAAAACTCCCCGTTGGGCCCAAAAAACTGCAGGACCAAGTCTTTGATGATGTTAGGTACCGTGTTGGCTCAAGAAGCGGAGGGGTTGGGGCTTGGCTTCAGCTCTTGTGCTGCGCCCTTAGCCAAGTACGTGCCCTGAATTTGGAGCGGATCCGACATTGTCCAACAATAGGATGAGTGGACTGCTTAGGTCCGCTTTGAGGGTCGGGAGGTAAGTGCTACTAGTGGCGGGCTGACTAGGAGCAGAGCAGAGAAGGCAGAGGATAATGCGGGAGGTGGAAAGGAGCAGGGGGAATACTTGACAGGAGCAGAGAAGTAAGGAGAAGAATTAGAGCACAGCTCTAAGTCGGAGCGGAGGGTTGGAGGTGACAACAAGATGGAACTTGTGTCCGGAGGAGGCAAGGTCCTACTGAGAATTCTCACAAGTAGAGACTGCAAGAAGACAAGTAATATTAAGACTGGGAAAATATCTAAGTACAGGATATGTTATATACTTCTAAGTATGAGGCAGTGGTCAAGATAACTATGTTGTAAAGCTATGTACCAAGGATATAATTTGTAAGTACTTACACAGGTGAAGACATAAGTCAGAGCGGATATCAATATGTACGCGTCAGATCAGTGATAGAGCGGTAAGAGGAATTACCGGTGATCCAGAAGTAAGGGTCTATGTACCGAAGGGGAAAGTATATATCTAAAAGGGGAAAGAGGTTCCAGTTGAATGGAGACGTTATGGAAGGGGACTGGTTGGGCGGTCAAGCGGAAGTGTGGGGGCAGATGCAGAAGACGATTGGACAGAGCGGAGGATGGTTGGAGTGGAGGTGGTTGGAAAGCGGAGCGGATATTAATATCGGAGTGGTCAGATCAGGTATATGACAGATGACCTTATTGATTATGCACCTCTTTTTCTTGCCAGAGCATAACATTGCGTGTTTTGAGAAGATGACGTGTGTCACCAATACTTTGGCACCCTGAATTGTCTATGCCACAACATCCATCGTCAGACAAATGACTTTTGGTTGAGACGGCGACGAGGTTTCATGTTTGGTGTCAATTGGCGCCTCCTGCCCTTCAGTGGTGACGGTGAGGGTTTGTGATGCAGGGTACGGTGTTGCTGGCAAATTGGCACGTCGGACGGTGCATGTTATTGTCGTCCTCGCGGGACCTGTTGTTTGCACCCATTTTAAACAGGATTTACTGAAACAGAAAAAAAAGCTCACATGTATGATCTCCGAAGCAGGAATCTCTCCCTGTCAGATAAATGTCAAATCCGAGGCCACTGGTACCAGACCGCTGCCTCAATCAATGATACTGGCACCTCCATCAGGGGTGTCCTCAATTCACTGAGGCACAGGTGTGGCACCTTCTGCATAATCAGAAGGGCCGGTGTCAGGGTAGTCATTGATCAATGGACCTGAGTTGAGCAGGGCATCCTGGAAATGCTCGTAAAAATCATAGCTGTTGTCAGTGTCCAATGATGGGCCCTGTCCAGCACCATACAATGATGGGCCCTGAGTGTCCCCATACAACAATGGGCCCTGAGCATCCCCATACAATGACAGGCCCTGTGCGTGGCCATATGGTGAAGGGCCCTGTGCATGACCATACAGTGAAGGGCCCTGTGCGTGGCCATATGACAACCCCCCCTGCCCCTGCTTGTCTTCATATGATGGCTGCCCTTGTTGCTGCATGCCTGCATGATCCAATTAGATATCAGTAGACTTGGTCTTCAATCCGTTCACCTTACCATCCTAGTGTAGTCTCCCTGTGTGGATCAAATTCAAAGGTGGACATTTGCAGTTGTTCTGCAGGAAGGTTAAGTTGATTAGCGGCCGGTAAACCTGATGGGTTGAGGCCTGATCCTCTTGCTGGCTTGGGGACAGCAGCTTTTCCCTTGCGCTGTGAACAGCGCCTACCTGGCATCAAGGTGGTGGTCAAGAAGAGAAAGAATGATTGCACGTCTAAAATTAATGTGTGCCACTTGATTCAATTTTCATCTTACACAAGAGATAGGGGGAGACACAAACTTGGTATGAGATATACAGACTAGGAAAAATGAAACATGTGGTCAAGTAAGAGGGTAATGAGCCAAATTGTAACAGGGGTCAAAGCAATTCGAGAAACAGATTGAATGGGTGATGGGAAAAAGCGGTGCTTCCAGAAGTAAATTGAATGGACAGGAAAAAGGCATGGTTTCAAGAAGCAAATTAGATGGGCGAGGAGAAAAGGCATGGCATGTCAAGAAGCAGTATATGAACAGAGAAATGATTTATGAACAGCACAATCTGAGCAACAGGCAGTTATCTGATTTGAAGCATCAGTACAGAATAGGAAGGGCTTGGCAGTTGTAGTTACCCATCAACATCAATATCATTGTCTCCCTCATCATCATCATCATCATTGGTATCCTCGTCATCATCCATGCTATCGTCAGTATTGGAAGATCAACAAGATTTACCAACAAATTGAGGCGAGTGGGATGGCTCTCCCATAGAACCCAATACATCATCCTTGATATGTAAGCCTAAGTGCCTGGAGAGTACCTCTGCTTGGGCAGCAACTGCATGGAGTATCTCGCACTTGTCATCATAGATGGCTTGAAGGTAGTTCATATCGTCATCGATTTGATCTTGTGAGCAGTCAGAAAAAACATTTCTGATTTGTTTCAACTCTTCTTCATTGAAGAGGAGGCGAGATTTGTTCTCATTATGGACTGCATCCAGGAATGTTGTGAACTGCTCTGACTCTTCAAGTTCCCATGCTGTCATCATGACACGTTAGCGTGCAGTCTCACGGCCAGCAATCTTTGACTTGAATAATGCATACAAGGTTGCAAAGCTCAAATGCGAGAATCCTCTGAAAATTGTCTCCTCTCACTGTTGACTTATGGATGAATATCTGGAAAATATTTAATGATAGAAACATACCTCATGAATTTCTGTGGCCATGAACTCTGGTTGACATCCTTGCCCTGATAAATGAGGTGCAAATCAGAGCTCCAGTGGAGCTGGACGGGGACCACATGGAATATGTTTGTTGAACATTTGCTCACATAGGTACTGTCCCCGGTGGGAAGGGGATGCCAATAGATGGAGGCCATTCCTTCCATGCTTGAAAGGAGATTTGAGGAGATGCCTATACAATATGCTCCGCTTCGCATTTGGAGACTTCGCAGGTACCTTGTATAATACACTGTGCTTTGCCTCAGGAGGTTTAGGCACCTCCTCATCCACTGGGGAGAGGGGAATACAGGGAGAACCTACATCAGAAGCAGAGCCTATATCAGAGTTCATCAAATGAGGAGAGTGGGTGTTACAATGGCACTATATTTTCTTTTCTCTTTCTTTTCTTACTTACTCATTGGGTCTTGTGACTGCTTATCAACACATCTAACACATGAACACTTACTCATATGCTTACTCATTATGCTTATGCAGATGATTACTTATACTAGTCTCTGATTGGTCGATCCAACATTGTACCACTTCTTGTCTTCTTTTCTGATTGGTCAACACTATCTTTCCATTCTCGCTTACCCTTCGTGATAGGGTCATCTACCTACAGACCGGCCCTAAACCACCTTCTTGTTACCTATATATACAATACCTCCTGTACTTGTATTCCTTAACTTGAATCTACTAGGCTCTCCCTGATAACTCAAGTTCACCAATGTAGCTGCCTCTCAGCAGACTAGCCTTGATATCTGATCTAGTGAGCCCTTGACACTTGACTAGCCTGAACCCTTGATCTAGTGGACTTGACATCCAACTAGCTGAAACTTGTGATTGTTACGCGAAACCTCTCGGATGGGATCCAGCAGCGCTAAACCCAGCAAGGGGTGTTCGAAGTGTAGCCTTCAGTGCTAGCCCAGCAAGGAGCTTGCCTGCACTAAGTCTGAGTAAGGGTTGAAGCCCTTACTTGTGTAGAGTCGATTGGAGAGTCTCAAGGATACAATCCAAGAGAACGGAGTTCAACTCAAGAGTATCATCTCAAGAGAAGATGGTTCTTTTGCACAGAGGGAGTTCTCTTAGGTAAGAGAAGTTCAGACCCAAAGACAAGTACTAGATGAGAACTGAGTAGATTCAAGTTAGAGAATCTATCTACAAGATGAGTGATATATATACGTAAGTGTCTGTACCGGTTGAGTGGTAAGGGTACAGGGTGAGCGGAGGTATTACTGAAGTGTCGGTAAGGGTCAAGGGTATGTATGAGTCACATACTGAAAAGAGTAAGTAGTACTGGTTGAATGGTAAGGGCAAAGGGGCATGGGGAATCCCTATCAAAGATAGAACCAATACAGTGGTAAAGGCATAGGGTTCAGTAGAAGCCACAGCTTCTATGATCTAGGGGAAAGAAGCGAGAGCTTCTCGTGTTTCAAGATAACAGGATCAAAGATGGAAGAGATAAGAATAGAAATGTAACCATGGTCCATGTCTAGACGAGTCTGCACAGTTTAGCCACATGTTGGTGGTCGACAGAACAAAGAGAATGAAATAACCCATGATGCTCATGTTACTGTAACAGTGATACACCTTAGTCTTGATCATCCTTTATTGAATCACTAAGGAAGAACTATCCTAGTCATAGCAGTGGGTTGTCTTCTTAAAAAACTCAAGGGAGGTTGATTCAACACAAGTTGCAGAGCTTGAGTTAGTGGGGGCAGGACTGCTTGACCGAGGAGGAGAGGGGACAGGAGATGAATGCACAAATTCCATCGTCTTGCAGGGCGAGCCAGCAGGATATCACTGGTAGTATCAGGCTGACTGTACACATCTTGCATAGTTGCAGACTTTGAAAGACTTAGCTGTTTCCTGGCAGTCAAACCCAGCCTGAGTGCAGTGTCAAAGCTATACAATGTGAGTATCTTCTACTGGGCTTGTTTTATGATACTGATGTTACACATACATTTGGCAGGTTATGTCCTAACTGCAACTTGGGAGACTTTCCATCCATTGAGGCGCTGATTCTGCATCTCAATTCTGAGTCTACTTGTTGGTCCATCTGAAGCACGAATGCAAGACTTACCTGTCCCTCCTGTATTCCATTGATGTGGAAATGATTGGAAGCCCACCACTGGTACTTGTCATCTGCAAGCTGGATATGTCTTCGGTGTCGGCAGAAATATGCTCGATAGGTTGCAAGATGATCCATATGCATATCGGTGGAAGATAAACCATTACTACCCTTTCCATGACAAAGGTGAATGGGAGTTAGGGAAGTTCTTGGTTGAAAATCTCACCCAAACCCAAATGATCAAGTTTCTGAAACTGAAATGGGTAAACAATTGTCCAAGCTAAATCTACAGCTCTCATCGTTTTTCTACAGTTTAACACTCATGCAAGACTGTCTTTCACTATGAAAGACCAGCTATTAGACTGGATGGACTCACTCTCTTGCTTTACAGAGTGGAAAGTTTCTAAAATAGAGTTTTCAGGCTACAAGACAGTCCACCCCATTGAGCTCATTTGGTGCAATGCACTAGAGGTTGTCAAGCAACTCTTCAGCAATCCAATTTTTGCAAACCACATGACCTATACTCCACACATCGTCAATGTTGGAAATCAATGTGAATATGGAGATTATATGAGCACTGATATGGCATGGAAAATCCAGGTTGGCTCACTCTGTTAGCCTATTCTTCACTCAGTCACAGATTGACTGCGCCATTTTCTAGGACTATCTCCCTATGGGCGCGACTCAAGTGCCAATCATCTTGGGATCAGATAAAACTCATGTGACATGAATCACTGGAGGACTCAAAATGCACCCAGTCTTCATAACTATCAGTAACATTGATTCAGAGGTTTGCTCTAAGACAACCTTATGAGCTTGGCAGTGTATTGCCTACATGCCGATCACAAAGTTCCATGTGCACCCAGACTATTAAAGCATTCTTCAGGCGCGGCTATGGCATAAGTGCATGGACCTCGTTCTTACCAACCTCAAGGCCATGGCAGTGGATGGATGTTCCATGCCTGACCCTTCCCTGACACATTTGTCATGTTTTTACACCACTGGTCACTCATGTATGTGACCTGCCGGAGGCTTCTATGATCGCTGCAGTTGCGAAAAAACGCATCCCCTCTGACCATGGCGGTGCAAGGGAATTTTGGTGATGGGACACTCCACCCCCCTCATACTGGGAAGCATACACTACAACTCATTATTGACACATGTCACAAAGCTGATCCTTGGGATCCTGACAAGTTCCAGAAAGCGGCCAAAGCTGTCAACCTGTCTGGAGTTCACATGCCATACTGGCATGATTGGCCCTTTGCATGTCCGTCTGTCTTCCTCGCTGGTGAAGTTCTGCATACCTGCTTCAAATTATACCTGCTTCAAATTTTTTGCCAATCATCCGCTCAAATGGGTCAAGGAGACTGTAGGAGCTTATGAGCTTGATTCCTGCTTCATTGTCCAGCATAAGTGGGTCGGCACATGCCACTTCACAAAAGGCATCACACACATAAAGCAAATGATGGACCGTGAGTACAGAGACATACAACGCACCATTGTTGCCTCAATCGCAGGCACTGCTTCACCCCAATTTGTTTGTGCAATCTGTGCCATCATGGAGTTTATTTACCTTGCACAAAATCTGGTTCATTCAGCCCAATCACTTCAGTCAATGGAGCAAGCACTTTTGGACTTTCACTCTTTCAAGGGCACAATTATTGAGGCTGAGGCAAGGAAGGGGAAGAAGGGCGTCAAAGAGGATTTTTTTATCCCCAAACTCGAGCTACTGCAAAGCTTCAAGGGTATGGTCGATTGGGCACTTTGATACAGTTCTGAGCTGATACAACAGAGCGCTTGCTCATCACACATTGTAAGGATCTTTTCCCACGGACGGCCCGGCAAAGCAAAGATTTTATGGAGCAGTGCGTGTGGATTCTTAATCACCAAGAATAGATGGAAATATTTGACCTGTATGCACTGTTGACTTCTCATGGAGTGCCATTGGTCAATGCCATGCACGCTGAAGAGGAGGAGGTTACAGTTACTAACCCTGCACTCTTGTGGGTTTCCCAGGTTCTTCCTGATGAAGTTACCTCAATTTGTGGTCCCCGACCAGTCCATAACCACTTTCTAAAGGGCATTCTCTCTGAAGATGCACTGACCACTTTTCAACTGAATGTCATGCCAGACTACAGATCACTGTCACCGGCTGAAATACCCATGAAATACACACTCCCCTGACTTTGATCGTGCACTGGCTGACTTCATCGCTCATTCATCAACGTCCAGTGGCAAATATACCCGCTGGGACCCCAAATACGGGCGCTACCATGCATAGAATAAATTTCAGCTGCAGCTTCACTCAGCCTTCCAGCAATGGCTCATCATGCCAAGCAGAGTGGTGCAAGCATACCCACCAAGCGACATATTTCCCTTTGGCAATTGTGACACTGCGCTCATTGACACCATGGGCATTAATGGCAAAATGAGTTTGTCTATTCCCTGCGCTTGTGTTCTAGCCCTACTGATATTATATACAGCAAGTTACGTCGCACAAGTCCGACTAATTTTTCAACCGATAGTTCAACAAGGTTCCAACCTGGGACTGCCATCATATCTTTCCAATCCACTTCTCTATGTCCAATTTTTCTGCTTTGTTGCCAATCCTGATGATTGTCCTGAACTTGTGATGTGGACTGTGGAGCTGTCATATCCCATACCTCTGGATCCGGAATTCTGGATCTCCCCTACGAAAGTCCGCTTCTCTCATCCTATTCTCCATCCAGCGCTCTGCTTTCATCTCCAGGCTCACTCCTATCTCCTTTTAGAATAACTATTTCTCCAGGCTACCGGTTATGTCCTTTCCGCTTTGCTTACTGATCCGTCCATTTGTACTTCATTTCCGACTTCACTGCTTTGATCCATTATACACTTACTAATAGACTTTCCACATGCTTCATACATAGCTTCTACTTTGCTGACTGATTTACTTACATGATACCTACAGTATATAAACTCCTGTAATACTCCAGTACTCCTCAGTTCAAATATCATCTTGGTTCTGCTCATTCCTGCTTCTCCAGACTTGAGTCTGATCTCTTGTCTACCTCCAAGTCTTAGGGTTAAAACCTTAGGACTATATCTCTGGCTCTACCTTAGGGTAGTCTAACTCTGTTTCACTTCTACTCTGGACTTGTCCACAGTAGCCTAACTCTGTCCGTTCCCAGCCTTCCAGAGTTCCGCCAAACTCCCCCTATGTCTGACCTCTGGACTTCCCCGGACTTCCATCAGACTTCTCCTCTGCCTCTTGGAAATTAAGGGCATGTACTCGGGTGAGGGCCGCAGCGCACGAGCTGAAGCCGAAGCCCTTTGAGTTGTCTTTCCCTTGAGCACGACCTTAACAGGAGCGCACATACATGCAGGATGAAAATGGTAACTGCCATAGGGAGGGGGCTGTCGTGCAAGTGACATATGCAACACATATGGTTGAATTGATACCAGTTTATGGTGAGGCAGTAGGCAATGGTGTGTCCTCTATGACTTGCTTGGAAAGCTACAAGCATTTCTTTCTGAATAACTTCACAGACAAGGAGAGTTATCATACATTCAGTACCGAGTTTGTGTAGTCAGTAGCACAATCATGTTATCAACTGCTATCATATCATATCTCTGAGCATTGCATCTTATCAGCACGAGATAACTTCAACTTAGTTTTATCAGCCAGATATACATCAGTAAACTACTAAACCTTACAGTGCTTGCTAATTTTCACAGCTCTCACAGCACCACAGAATCTCACAGAACTCAGCAATAGCTGATGTAAGTCATTGTTCAACTCATCGAAAATTTCAGAAGTCTTTGTTCTACACTTCGACTCTTGACTTCTACCTGCACCACTGCCATCCTTCAAGTAAGTCTTGTATTTTCTTTATTTTCTTATTACTGCTTGCTTATTATTCACCTTATATGCCCTGTCTCTCGCCTTGTCATTCCTGTGCCCTGTTTCTCGCCTGTCTCTTGTGCCCCATCTCTTGCCCCGTCTCTCTTGCCCCGTGCGACATGCCAGTCTCTCTCACCCTGTGTGATCTCTTGCCCTGTCTCTCACCCATCTCTCATGCCCCATCTTGCTCATCTCTCGTGCCCCATCTCTCACCTGTCTTCTCGCCCCATCTCTCGCCCATCTCTGTGCCCCTGTCATGCCCTGTCTCTTGCCCATCTTTCTCGCCACTTGAAGGTGTGTTTTTTATGTATGTATGTATGTATGTACATTACTTACTAGTATTTTCATGCTTGTTTCGTGTTTGCGCTTGTTCATTCGAGGCACACAATAGGTGCATTTTTTTTCTTTTCTTTTATATATACATTACTAACAACTTGTCTTGATTCAGGTGTACGAAGGTGAGCGTGCCTGCACGAAGGACAACAACCTCCTCAGCAAGTTCAAGCTCTCCAGTATTCCTCCTGCTCCCTTGACTTGTGCAAGCAGAGATACTGCCCTCGCTACAAACAAATATGACAGCGCTATCACGACAATGACAGCAACTCAACAACACAACACAACAACAACACAACAACAATGACAACAACATGACAACGACAAACAACTATGACTATGACTACGACTATGATGACGACCTGTTCTCTCGCACTGTCGCACTTTGATTATCTCACATCCTTACTCACTGTTTGTATTGATGAGTCTAGTAGAGTAGTTGCTTATTTTGCAATCCATTTGTTTTAATTTAATTTTACATGTTTGACTTGAGTTAATGTAAAAATGAAAAAAGCGATTTCTAATATGTTTGGAAGGTTCTGTGTAACTAGAGACCTACTGTGGAGCTCTGGGAAGCTCTGTACAGAGCTGTACAGAGATGGGCCTGTCTGTGACAGTCTGTCTAGTGGGGACCAAGCTGTGGCTCTGGTGAACTGTACAGCTCTGTACAGACCATTGTGGTTTACTGATGTAGCAGCAATATCGGTGTTCAGGTCTTGAATCTCTGTTCCACCAATCGTGTTGCTCCATCACCAGCGCCATAAGCTCTCCGTAAGCATCAATCTTCTTTTTGACAAGCGAAAATTATGGGTCTTTTGCTGATGCACAAGCTAAAGAGATTATGCGAGCGCCGCAACGAAGAGGGAGCTGGAAAGACAAATATATCTAATGGTATGTTAGCTCTATAGGTTAACATAGAAATGAATAAAAACATACATCTCAGACTCTAGGAAAGATCTGAGATGTTCGGTTGACGTGACTCGTTCTTTATAGTACGGTTAGCATAGATAAGTAAATTAGTGTAACGTAGGAATAGACGTCTCAATATTGACGAGCCTCGGCCGACGTCAACACGTCGCCTCGTTATACTTGGATGTTGCGCTCGTATGGTTTCACTTTCATCTTTCCGGTCCGTTCTCCTCCGACTCTCTCGTTTCGACTGACTCCAACACAAGCCTTGTTACTTGGGCCGAAACTTTGATTGACGTAACTTCAATGATGCTATCTCTAACCTGTTAGTGACCTACTAGCACAGACCGCTCTACTAGACTGTCAAGATGAATTCTCTTTGCGTGTCGAAACGAAGGCTTCGGCGCACTTTTGCGTCACAGATTCGAAAGTTCATGGAGGTGATACTTCGCAGAGACATTGATAACCTACTTGATCAACGAGGCAAATGCGCAACTCTCATCCTTTCCTCAAGGATCCCGCAACTCGAACTCGACGCGACTACTAGCAGCAGCTCGACAAATACTGCAAAGGAATTCCAAATGCCTAATGCCAATTCACGCTAATTCACATCACCACTTTCACCGTACACTAGCTTAGACTGTCACGACCAAGGTGAAGCCCACAATGACAGCTATGTCCTTTGCCCAGGGGACCAGATGACAAGAAAGAACGATCGTCAAATCTTCAAGCTTCAAGGTCTTGACTAAGGGAGACTAGGACCAAATGGCCTAGCAAAGGTGTTCATATATTTGTATCTCACACCTCAAAGTTGTTCTTGAGTACTGACGCTGGAGTTGCGTTAGAGTGACTCGATAACCCAATTTCCAAATGGTCACGATGCACGTGGGGTTCATATATTCATGCACGGTAGAACTCGCCGAAGCTAATCATCTACCCTGGCAGATTGAACTGGCCTCGTGTTCGGGTTAGGTTTATGTATTAATTTCATATGGCTATCTATCTGATATACTTATACCCTCCAGCCTATCGCATTTCTACTCTGCAACTTGACCACAATGTCTACTCCACAACCCTGGTGGAAATCCGCGACCGTCTACCAGATTTATCCAGCCTCATTCCTTGATGCGAACGGTGATGGCACCGGCGATCTCGCAGGCATCACAGCCAAACTCGACTATCTCAAGGATCTTGGTGTGGACGTTATATGGCTCAGTCCGATCTATCGCAGTCCGTTGGCTGATATGGGCTATGATATGTGAGCCCTAATCGTCACTTTTTGGTTCCGGTACTTGATGCCTTAATCGCATCAGCTCGGACTATGAGGATATCGATCCACGTTATGGCACCCTGGAGGACTGGGACCGCCTTCTCGAAGGTGTGCACGCACGGGGGATGAAGCTTATGTACGTGACGTTCGAGCCCTAGCCTATTTCTGGGTATCATTCTGAGTCTTTTTTTACCAGGATGGATCTGGTGGTGAATCATACATCCGATGAGGTAAGCCTTCTATCGTTCTGGCTCATCATGTGCTGCATTTTTCTACCAATTACTTGCAATTACTGTCGCGTACTGATCACATATATCTTACCAGCACGCCTGGTTCACCGCTTCGAAATCAAGCAAAAATGACCCGAAGCGCGATTGGTACATCTGGCGTCCTGGAAAAGTTGTTGATGGGGAAGAACTTCCGCCGAATAACTGGAGGAGCGTGTTCCAGGGTGAGTGGTCATATCTTCCTTAACCTCCTTGCATGGTGACGGTGGCCGTCCCATCCTTATGATCGTTCTGAACCACGCACTGTTCCATTGTCAATCTGTACTTCACTGTGCGACAGGCTCCGCCTGGGACCGCGACCCTACAACTGGGGAGTACTACCTCCACTTGTACGTATCTAAGCAGCCAGACCTAAACTGGGAAAACCCTGCCGTGCGTTCTGCCGTCTGGGATGTCATGCGGTTCTGGGTCCGCAGAGGGTGTGACGGGTTCCGCGTGCGCATGTTCCCTCTCCTCCTTATTCTTTGACAAAATAATTCGCGCATTATGATAGATGGATGTGATCAATATCATCTCGAAGACGGATGGTCTGCCCGATGCGCCTGTGGTGGACCACACGCAGTATCATCAGCCCGCGAGCATGTACTTCGCGAACGGGTGAGTTGGTTCATCGTCACTCATCGAAAACCTCTTAACCTCCCCAGCCCGCGGGTTCACCAATACATCAAACAAATGCACGCCGAGGTCCTCTCCCGTATGTCCCCCCCCCTTCCCTTTCCGCTCTCCTCACTGACTAACCTAAATCCCACAGACAACGACCTCATCACGGTAGGCGAAACGCCTTTCACGCACGAGGCCTCCGAGCTCGCCGCATACGTCCTTCCGCAGAACCGCGAGCTTAACATGGTCTTCCACTTCGAGCTCATGGACATCGACTCGCCCCCCGAATCTCCGCTCCTCAAGAAATCGTGGACGCTCGCCGAGCTCAAAGACATTGTTGGCCGCTGGCAGCGCTACAAGCGCGATGAGGGGTTTTGGAATGCGTGAGTTCTGCGTGATATTAAGTGGAGAGTGGAATGATGATGCATTATTGGGTTTGGTGGCTTAAAGTGTTTTCATTGAGAATCATGACCACGCGCGGTCGGTGTCGCGCTTTGGAAACGACTCGGCGCAGTGGCGTGCCATCTCTGCCAAGATGCTCGCTATCTTTGAGATCACGCAGACGGGGACACTATACGTGTACCAGGGGCAGGAACTCGGCCTCAAGAACTTCCCACGGACGTGGGGAATCGAGGAGTACAAGGACGTAGCAAGCCAGAACTACTGGAATTTGTGCGTTGCGTTTTCATCTTCCTCTTTTATGTGATGGTGGGCGTAAGTGCTGAGGATTGGACAGGATCAAGGAGCAGAGGCAGAAAGTGCAAGAGAAGGAGGATGTTGCTATGTCTGATCTCCACGATAGCTTCGCGCAAAAGGCGCGCGATCACGCACGAACCCCGATGCAGGTAAATGCAACTCGCCTCTTCCTTCCAGTGACCCTATTTAATGTTAATGGTATGTACTGTACAGTGGAACGCGAATGCACATGGAGGCTTCACGACCGGCACACCCTGGATGCGCGTGAACGATGATTACCCAGAATGGAACGCCGAACAACAGATCGGCGATGAGACCAGCGTGCACGCGTTTTGGAAGCGTGCGCTGAAGGTGCGGAAGGCGCACGACGTTCTTGTGAGTCGTCCCACATATGTTCTCCGGCATGCCCTTCGTTTTACTTAACTCACCCTCTATTTCCACCTTCAATTCTATCTCTATCTCCGTGTCTGCCCCTCCTTCCATTCCTTCGACATTAACACGTGCCTACGCCAAGATCTACGGTGATTTCGTAATGCTTCTCGAAGCACATGAACAAGTGTTCGCATACATGCGGAGCTACGGGTCCGCGTCTGCGTTAGTACTACTTAATTTCAAAGAGAGCAAGGTCGAGGTCGACCTCGGGGAGGCCGGCGGAGGAGTAGCGGGGTACGCATTTGTCCTGGGCAACTACGAGAACGAGGGGATCAGACTGGAGGAAAAGGTCACTCTCAGGGGCTACGAGGGACGGGTGTATCTCCGGGAGGCGTTGCTGAATTGATGTATAAGGACGCGTGACACACAAGTTGATATACAGTATCATAAATCTAGAGACTACATCAAGTAGTGCTAGGACGACTTTGTAACAGGTTAACAAGAAAACAGAAGGGAGGCGAGGTGAGCACAACAATATATCTATAGCGGTACCGGGAAAGCTAAGACCGGCTACATGACCGAGGGTAAAGCAACATCTAGAACGCCACCTGGGCATCCACCCGATCGAAGGCATTCACGCATGCGTGAATGCGAGGAAGGGTATACAAGAACATCAGGCGATATCGAAGCACTCTGAAACCATAACAAAAACAGCAATCCCAGCAGTTAATCAATAACTGTTAAAAGTAAACGAGGAGTAGAGCGCGTCCTCAGAAGGACCGAGCGTGCTCGCGGTGCTTGTTCATCACGAGTCCCGTGGGTCTGCGCTTTGCTAGAGTGCCGGTGCTGCTGGGCCGTGTCTGGCATTTTTTCGCGCTGGACGATGGGCTACTGTTACTAACGGGGGATGATACCACGCCGACATTGGTGGGCGGGGTGGGTGAAACACTCGACATTGTAGTGCCCGATGGAGTTGTCTCTGATGAAGTCGCAGTGGTTGACGGCAAAGATGTGCTTATGGCGACAGAGCTCGAAGAGGTGGGAGAAGGAAGACTTCCGCCCAGTACAATCTCAGATGCATTCGCACAAAACGCAATGAGGAGGTTCACCTGGGCCATGACTGATTAGTTGGTGACTCCAATGATTTAAGGGTTACACACATCGTTCGCTTGACATGCGCGTTGGGCGTACCAGTCTTCTGGGGCATAGAAAGCCGAAGCGCAGTTGGGGGTGTTGCCTGAAAGCGATGTATAAGGATAAATAAGAAGTCCACATCGGACTAGACTCACAATCGGCCCCAAATCCGTCGCATCCGTTGTAATACCTATTTGTTCGTCAGAATGTCAATATGCGTGGAGATCTGGTTACGCACGCAAAAGAGGCCTCGACGTTGAAAACATGACTGAGTGCAGGCGGTGAGGGTAGAACTATGCACACAGGAAGAGAACTTACGGTGATATGAGCGAGATATCGCTGCTGGAGCCACATCCGGCACAGGTCGGGTTGATCAAATTCATCTCGAGCAAGGTGCACTCCTCGCCGTTAACATTACACTGCCCTGTGGAAATTCAGGTTTGATCTGACAGAAATTATGTATGAGTGTTATACGTACCAGTCTGCAAGTATCTGATTATGTATGATTGAGCCAACATTGGAGGACGAGGAATAAGTGGAGCTCACGCGATTCCGGAAAACGTATTTTGGACGGTGTAGTCCTGTCCTGTAGATACATTTTGGCCATTCACAACCAAGCACGGCTAGATAAAATCTAAGCGAATGTTTTCCCCACTAAAATGGGGGGTGTAGCTCACGGTTCCGTGACCACATCTGTGATTCCTGCCGTTAGAATTACGCGGCGCAATTACTTCATGTGTGACTTACTGGTTGATAAACTTTATGGTATGTGTCTCTGATGCACCGACTCCAACAACCGAGAAGATTGCGAGAAAGAACGAGAAAAAGAGTGAAGAATACATGAAGGATGGTATCGATAAAGGAGGGGAAGAACCTAACGAATGTAGCGGTGGTAAGAGGTAGAAAAGCAAAATGGATATTAAACAGCCGTTCAAACTGCATGCATGTTAACGTTCACTGATAATTTCCTTGCTTCCTTTTTCAGTCTCAAATAAGCAATGAGGCATCTTCATCTCCGCAACTTCTCACTCAACGGTGAGTTGGACCTGCAATGCAGTACCTGCCAACTGATGATCCGTCTTATTTTCAAGAAAAAAACGTTAGCGCTAGGTGTTTACATAGATTTAAACTCGTCACTCTGCGATCGAGCCTGCAATTCGCATCCGTCCAACACGGGTCCGAGGGATTCAGTTATAAACCTTGATCTCGGGGCTGAGCTTGTTGGGTTTTATACGCAAGATAAGTTTTTTTTTACCTGATCAAGGCACTGGTGCGGAGTCCTGACTTGGGAGATTTCATTTGAGTTGTCCGTGCTGCATCTTATCACATGGGTATCCGTCCTCCAGGTGTGTCTTACCCGAGAACGCTAATCAGGAGTATATTCCACAGCTCAACGAGTCCTTGGCTGTATTATACTGGTAACCAAGTGGTATCTGTCCCACATCCCTTCGATGACTAACATCCGAGTTCCGAAGTGAGACAAAGTGTAGAGCTCAAGTCCACGCACAAGGCCAAGGCACTTCGTGGCGCCCTTTGTGTAACGGTTGACGGGACGCTTGTACAGTCCTTGAGGGACTCTTACAACATGCTCACATGGTGGTCCAGTGCCTCTTCAATGGGATTTTGCCTCCTCCATCTCCAAGGAACATTACGTGCACTGGGAGGACAATGAGCTCTCCTCTCTCCCTTGCCGCGATTTTACTGGTCTAAACATCCTTTGAAGCTACATGGATTCAGGGCTGCTTAGACTAATGAGCGCTTTGGACTATGGACAAACCTCACGAGCGACCAACAGGTATCTGAACACTCTTTGACCTGTGGATCGTCAAGCAAGTATAAAATCACAGGCAGCTTGGATGATGAGAACGCACCAGCTCGGCGATCTACTAGACTTGCTAACATGTCCCACCCGCACCAGGACAACGGTTATGGCTTTAACTATGACAGCCATTCCTTTAACTACGACATGGATAACAACACGCAGGGAATACACCAAGTCGTGCTTCCCCACCAAGTAAGCGGACATTCGTCTTTTGGGGTGAACAGTTCTTCTTCAGCATCGGTGAGTCTATCTGCTTGTTTAATTTTGTCTCTAGATTGACGGTGATTATTTCTACTCAGTCTTCTGGTACGTCTCACGGCGCGGAGGTGTTTGTCCCGATGAATCTTCCGCGGGGTAAAAGAAACGGCTCGACTGTGCTTTTCCAGGTCGGTGCAGAAAGGAACAGTCTGAGCATTCCATTGGAGGAGTGTCTTCAGCCCGGCGGTTCACCGCGTTTGAAAAATCCCCACGAGATCATGTTCCCGACCCTCAACCGTACTCAGGTCCCATTCCTCAAGCTCGTCATCGCTGTAAGTGCTCACACCCTCGATCGATGGTGGAGTCTGAGTTCCGTGTTAGTGGTCTGGCTACGATGCCGTGGAGTACCTTATTAACATTGGGACGAATGAAGCGCCTATCACAAGGGCTGATCTCGCGCGTCAGATTGCGTATTCGTTTGTCGGATTTTTCAACGTAGGTGTTTATCATTCTTCCTCTTGTGATTTCACGCTGATATGGTGTCAATCAGCTATGCAACGACGGTATTCTCCCTCCGAGGTCTCTCTCGTGGAAAGTCGGAGGGCGAGATGGATATTCGTTTCAACAGATGCACCTCTCAGCATTCTGGAACATCGAAGGCAATTCCTGGGCTGCCTCCATCAGAGTCCTCCAACAGACCTAGCGCTGGTTGCGCGTGTCAAGGGCAATAACCTCGTCCTCTCCCATATCGCCACAATTTGTATATTATTCTGTAGATACCCACATTGTATCTAAATGCCATGTATTTGAGGACCTATGCACTGTAATATAACGAGCACTGTCACATCGAGACGGACTTGGACCCCCGAAGGCTATGATCACTATTTGAGTAACCTCATTTGAGTTCTCGACCACTGAACATGGTATGATGGTACTTGCTGGATTCGAATTCGGAGACTGATCTGGAATATAGCGAAATCATCGGAGTCTACGTACACAATGATTGAATTGCAAATATGTTGTCAGTTCAGAATAGCACCGCAGTCACAGCATATGGACGGAAAGAAATTTTAGTATCCTCATGATCAAAGTTGCTCGTTAAAACGCTTTTGCGTCTTGAATCAAATCACGTCTGGTAATATGATTATGGATTTAGATGGATTTAGACTTGATACCAATATTTAATCTTTCCAATGAACCAGTAAACCTGCTGTTCCTCTCCGTCGTCCAATGTGGCCGGCCACATTGGGCCAGTCGGACATAGATCTGTACCAAATCGTGCGTGAATAGCTTCTTCGCGGTACAAGAAGCACATAATGTCCACGAGTTCCTGTCGGTCACACACTGCCCTAAGCTTCCACCGCAGTTCGGTCTGTCGGATTGAGACCGAGCGTGCGAATCAATGTATCAAAACTCTCACCTGAGAAATTCCTGGGTGGAAAAAAATGATGCCCACCACGGCATGCAAAGCGGCGTTCCAGACGTCTCGTATTGTACCCCCACGGATGTCTAGCCAACGTCGAGGTAAGGCAAGAGTTTTTGGTTCCCTAACGATCTCCACTGTCCAAGGACGAGCATAAAGGCAGGAAACGATGACCGGCGCAGAGTATCCAGCCCACATAATGAGGGGTGGAGATGTTTGGGACATTCGCTGTAGCAGGTCCATGACCACATCATCAGCACCAAGAGTCTCAAAGTACAGGCGGGTCAGCACGCTGGCGAAGGACGACCAAGTAGAAAACATACCAGGTAGTGCGACTTTGATGTGCCTGACTCTAACGACGCACGGACTCCATCAAAAATATTTCGAGCGAGTTTTTGTTGTTCGCTATCCAGACGAGCGGCGAACTCGGAAAAAGTTGATTCAATGCACGACACGCAATCTATAATCCTTGATTGTGTCTGCTCAGTGCAAGCAGCCTCAGCTCCGGTTACCGTTTGTCCATGCTGCATGCTCTCGTCCAAAGGCATGTTCGTAGGATCCGAGCGCGTCTCATATGAAGGTAATACAGCACTTCCATTGCCCTCATTATCGTCTCCGTCGAGTGCATTCAAGCGGACTTGAATGCTAGTCTCGATGTCATCGTCATCTATTCTCTGTGAGAGGGAAAATAACTGTAACTAAGGCACTGCACAGACCTGCTTTCTTGCTGTTCCAGTCAAGCCTTGCTCGAGCATTTCGCGATTGTGCCATATCTATGATGAAATCGACCTGTGTGTTCTTGTCGATGCGATGCTTCTACTATGCAGCCTGGTCATCAGCGTACCTGTTCCTCTGACACCAGCTGGAGTAGTGCTGCGGTGTCACCATCAGAGGCTAACAAAGGCCACTCCATGCTGTCAACTTGTTCTGCGAATACCTCATCCAAAGCTACAGCGTCTTGGAATAAGTCGCCATGTATGGGGCCTCCGATGGCGTTTAGGTTGCTGCAAGGGTGTTGATCAGCAGAAGCGTCAATTGATAGCAAGGTTTACGCACATATCTGATATTTTTAATGTACGTCCCGGCTTCATCTTTTTGGGATCGCGAACCACCTTTGACAAGACTCCGCGGCGTAAAAGGTTGGAGGTTGCAAGGGATACAGACTGATCGCCAGCGCTGTGAAGCATTTTCGCTGACAAGTCGGCGTCGTAATGCTCGGTAGGCATGCCAAAAACCATCTGTAGAAAGGCGAACAGGTAGTAAGAAGCAAGCGGACAGGTCAAGCAAACAACTGCCACCTTCAGTGCAGCTTCCGCGACTTGAACTACATCGTCACTCGTGTTTGTGACGTATGGAACATCGTCTGCTCCATGAGTGAAAGACTGTCGGAGAAACTGTTTCTCTCGACCTTCTTCGACCGTAGCTTGCCACATAAAATCCCAAGCAGGAGAAATAGTCGTATTGCAGAGCACATTGAAATGATGTATGATATCATCCACGGATGCTGGTAGCTTCGTCCGAGTTGTATGCTCAACGTAGCCAACTCTCCTAGTTGCGGTCAGCATCTCCATGGATTAATACTGCGTAAACTTACAAGGCGTTCTTATCAACATGCTGCCGGAGAAACTCTATGTGATTTATGATGTCAAAGTTCGACGGGCTTTGAGGATCTTCGTCGGGAAGATGCTCGGTACCCCTATGCTGAATCCAAAGGTCGTGCCATCGGTCCTCGAGACGCTTCATGTACACTTCTTCACCAGTATTCTCTCGGAGATGAGAGAGACGGAGACGGACAGAATTACGTGGGACACCGGGAAACACTTGGTCGAAAGCTGAAAGGTCGATCTTGACCCCACCGCGACATCGAGCACGAATGACAGCGGATGTATCACGGGCGAGCTCATCGTATTCTCGAGTCCAATGGAATCTGGAGCGCCGCTGCTGTGGTGTTTTATGCTCTGATTGATCTGCGGAGGGTGGTCATTCCTAGATGCGCAGCAGAAGGTCAACGAACAAAACTAGCCTCCATAATCTCCCTTGGTTTTGGTCTTCCCTCTTGATTTGCCGATTTGTTGTGGGAGAATAGGCGGGCCTTGCTGAGCTATGAGGAAATGCACCGATTTCTCAGGAGGATTGGCTACAACGGGTGGCAATGCTGCGGGGCGCGTAAGCGCCTTCGGCCTTGCGATAACCTTGTTTGAAGCTAGTCGCGCCTCCCGGATGGCGTTTTCTATTTCGCTTTGCCATCGACCCGTATCTCTGATTGAGCTGGATTGCATAAAGCGATTGCGAACAGCTCGAATCCGGATGCCAACCGTGCCCTTGAGTGGCCCAGGGTGCAGGCGCTGAAGCAGAGCTACCCAGTCGTTTTCCCTGTGAAGTTTTGCTTCTGCAGCCTTCTGTTGAAGTGTTGCTTTGGCTTCGATATTTTGCTTCGCGTGATGCTCTGCCTCGTCTCTTTTCTGCCTCGCCCGTGCTTTCTTCATTTCACGTAAAGCCTTTTCAGCAGCTTCTTTGAGGTATGCGACAACAGGCGCGCGCGGAGCGCTAAGAACACGACAAATCTGCTGCAGTCGTGAGTCACTGTCCTCTTCGTCAAGTGGACTGCGGGCCGTGGCGCTGTCTACGGAATTGTCTAGGTACCGCTTCTGGTGCCAAGTTAGGTGGTATTCCAAGTCCCAAGACACTCTCCGGCGGAGAAATCGAACAAGGAGTGTGTTTGCCGGAGGTCCTAAAGTGCCGTGAGTTGGACAAACGGTGCTTCGTGCATAAGCAACGTCTCGGCTGACTTTATGCAGCTCGTCCCAAAAAGCTACACCATCGCAGCGAGATTTCACAGAGACATGCCTCCAGTAAGACGGGCAAGAATCAGAGAGAGCCCAGAGATATAACGGTGCTGTTTCATTGAAACGCCAATATTGAGGTGCGGCAGATGGTGTAGATACCCGCCATCCTTCGAAAGAGGCTGCTCTAACTGCAACTGTCCGACCATCAGGGAGTGTACATCTAAAATCCGCGTTTTCGTCTGTAGATGGTTCGTAAGGGGTCACAAGGCCAAGGAGTCGAAGGGTGTCCAAGAGTTCCAGAACGCGAGATTTGGAACGCGACTTCCCCACCTGCAGCTTTGCCGATATTCGGCTCGGCAGATCTCTGACCAGTATTTCTCTGCCCTCCGCCGAGGCCATAAGCGTTGATAGCTCTTCGTCGTAGCTGAGAACAGCAATAAATGAGCAATAAACGGCAATGGGAACGTCAAGCTGATACAAGGAGATGTCGATCATAAGATGCTCATGGGACACAATACGAGGCGAAGAATGTTGTTCGAGCAATCCAAGGGTAAAGACATGAAAGTCCCGCAACCGAGCGGCCTTCCCAACCCTGAAGCCATACAACTGTGCTACCGTGGTCCTCTCCGTAAGGAGAACGTCGCGGATCGTTTCAGAGTCGTATGAGAAGAGCTCCTCCGCCTTGGCAACGTCAAGAACCTGGTGTTCACCGCCATCTTTCCCGGGAGTCTCTATTTGCAGCAGGTGAAGCGGTAGAGTGGTGCGTTGCAAAACGCCGCTGGGAGCTCCGAAATCCACAGGCTCCTCGAATGTCTTAACTGGCGGAACGTTTGGAGTCGGGGCGCTGTGACTCAGGTCATGCAAAAAGGCGTTGATTTTCTCTTGAGGCGTGTCTGGGAGATAAACCAGAGAGGCAGGCCGAGTGCTTCCCGTGGCAGAGAAAACAGTAGTTTTGAGGACTTTGATGCGGCTGCGACTTTCCATGTTCTTTATAGTGGCATCTGCAGTTCTCTTGTCGATACGAGTTCCTGAGGGCGCACTTGCAGGTTCTCCACGCTGAGCCATATCGTTCAGCAGAGCGATATGAGCATCAAAAAAATGTTTTGTGTGCAGATTTGCAATGCCGCCAAGGTCTTGAATCACCCGGAAAAATTCGTTCTCACGGCGTAAATGAGATATGTTCGGATTTCCTTTAAGCTTGTCACCGGGCGTAGACGTTCGCGAGCGCTTGGGTTGAGAAGCCATCACTGGTGGTGGGGATCCCTTTCGTTTCTCTCCTATCACGGGCGTCACGTCCGCCTCCATCAACTATCAGATTAACCGAGTGAAGAAATTGAGCGATTCACTTACAGAGGATGTCTCTAGCAACGCAGGATCGATAATCATGGAATCTTGTGCGGAAGGATGATGACCCGTGACAGGTAAACCATCGACTATCGCACCGTCCACTACATGTGGTGTGACCTCTGATTCATTCATTCGATCAGTAGAATCGTCTCCCGGTAGCCCTTCCACTTCAATTCCAGATATAGCAGCTCCACGTTTCTGGCTGGAAGAAGCATCACCCTCGCGAAGTTTTGGCTTTCTGCGAGATCTCCGGGGGCTTGTTTCCTCTACATGAACACCCACAAGCCCAGTGCGAGATTCCACCACGTCACCAACGTGAGTAGTGACCGCAATAACAGCAGACGGAGGTGGTACCGCGGCTTGCACATTGGCGTCTGCTACAGCTTGACTAATATGGTGATGATCGTCAAATGGTCCCTGAAACGAACGACCTGCTTCCTTCGGACTTGAAGTCGGGGGCTTAGAAACGGGATGGGGTGTGACCGACGCCGCTCTTTGTCGATAAGTAGCTACACTCGTCATAGCTCGACTCTCTGGAGAGTCTCCGCCGGTCACTGGTGGAGACGCTGACGGGACTGGTGGTTGAAGAACAGGGCCACTCACACCCTCCATCGGCTCACTCGTTGGAACCTCGGCATGGGAGTCGGCTTGTTCAGCATCAGGCTTCCGTTTGGGTGGACGGCCCCGCCTTTTGGGAACCTTAGGTGCCGTCGGGGTCGCATCACCCGCCTCAGGAATCGGCTGTTTGCGAGGTCGACCACGCTTCGCCGGGGTAGGAACGTCACCGCCCTCTTCAGCGCGTAGGATTTTACGTGGGCGACCTCTTTTGGCCTTTGGGGCAGGTTCTGGCGCATCCTCAACCGCTTCCTCATCTCCTGGATCTTCAGTTTCTTCCCTTTTACGCTTCTTAGCCCCTGTCTTCGATTTGGCGCCCTCCTTGCCCTTGAATGTGTCTTCATAGTAGTGGAGCGTTTCATCGTCATCGCAAAACATCGCCTCGTTGAAAACAGCAAAATCACCGGCTTTTGAAAGATCGATGTCAACATATGACATCGTCGTATCTTCGAGGTTTTCGCTGGCCATGACCGTTTTATATGCGGCGAGAGTATAGTATCGATGTCGTCTTTCCCGCCCAAACGACTCCATGAAGTCCGCTGTCCCGAGATCACTGAGGTGAGCAGGGGGTCGACTTTTGGCTGCTCGCGTCAACATAAGCTCAATAGTGCGTTTATCGAAATTGCCAAGAGCACCGCAGATTTCCTGCGAATAAAGTCAAAACACTGTCCTGGCGCGCTGCGTGGAGACTTACGTAGAGAGTTCTGCCAGAAGACCCTGCTTCTTCAAGCAGATCTGACACTTGTTTTTGTATTGTGCGGTTTGCCCTAACCTCAATGTGACCAGCTGAGACGTCGGTTAGAGCGGAATACGGGAAAATGATGTATCGCACCAGAAGCATCATCAAATACAACTTCCTTCTCATCGTCCTCGCCTTCCTGAGGGGTAAGAACGACACCGCCCTCTGGGAGTTGATTGTCCGGAGTGACAAGTCGTATGCACTTGACAAGCCTGTCTTTTACTTTGGAGCTCGGGACCAATACACGTTCTATCACTCCTTGCGCAATCAACTCCCGCAGACGGGTTTGGAAGAAGCGACGGTCTGTCTTGGTTGGGTTCGTGAAGCCCTGCAAGGATTCAGCAAAATTCCAGTACCATAACTGAGCATTACATACGATGGTTATCATTAAGTTATTTGACGCGTGAATATTGTTCTGCGACGCCTTCAGCAACTTGACGATTCGCTTTTTGATTAGTGGGAGACTAGACAGATGTCTGGAATCCACAGGCTCAAAGTCGAGTTCCAAAGGTTCTCCTGTGGGAGTCCCATCTTCGACAGGTGTTCCGTCTTGTGGATGACTCTCTCCAATAACAATTGGCTCGTCATCTTTGGCTTCCTCTTGCTGGATCTGTTGCCAGAACGCGCTGCGCTCCACAAAATATTTGTGAATACAGGAGTGATTACCAACACCTCCCCGCCGTGCTTTGATACTATCCTTGCATCATTACGAGTTTCACAGAGAGAAAGACCTACACATACATTAAGCCAAGCTCCAGCAATTGTTTAATGACATAAAAACATGTCTTCTGATCGTATTTTGTCTTACGTCCGAGCTCGACAGTTGTAATACCTTCTTCGCGGCCTCTTGTGATAAGCTGCAAAGCGCTGTAAACCATTGGACTGAGTTTCGAGGACTGCATGATGATGAGCTCAGATTAAGTTGAACAGAAATTGTCACATACTCTGATATGTGATCCTGTGATTGCAGCAAAAGATGTCTCTGGGTCAACAGCAATTCTGAGGTCTTCACCGTATTCTGCCTTCAGGTCTTCCAGTGACCTCGCACGTGCATTCTCAACGAGAGTAAGAGACGGCGGGGCCTCTTCGACAAGTACCTCGCCCTTAGCTGCCGCCTTACGCTTTGCGCTCGTCTGAGGAGCGATGTACACTTCGGACGACACACCCGCAGGGACAGTACCAACGCGGACAGTGGGTTGCTGGACGACTATGGACCAGACGAACGCGCAAAAGACATCGTCGACGACTTGCGGGTGGGTAGCGTCGTGACTATGAAATCCTACGATGAAATCTCGCAAGCGGGAAACGTTGCAACCTGCAGGAACGGCAAATAACAAAAATCAGATCTCGTTCGAGAAAATCGAGAAAATGGATGTTCAGGAGTTGTCATTATGGGGATTCGAACGATCCTCTTCGCGACGAGTTCGCCAAGAAAGAAGCGCCGAACGACTGATCGAGATCAGTATCAGTATAGTGCTGAACGTACCAAGATCGCCGTCGAACGAAAGTTCTCGGAGACAATGATGCACGAGCTCATCCATGATCAGGAGAACGAAAGGTAGCAAATGGTGGAAATAGTGAGACTGCTGCCTTCCAAGTCACTGGGTGTGATCAGATTCAGGATGTGATCGTAAAATTTACTCGATATCGGCTATCAATAAGTTGAAAGAGGATAATGGGTCAGCGTCGTGGGCGACGATGAGGAACGCTGGTCAGTCACGGCGCAAATGTCATGTTACTATGTGACATGATCTGTGACAGTGGCGGGCCGCCCCGTCTTGCCGTAACAGTCATCTTCAGGTTGGGTACTATCAGGCTGCACGAAGAACGAGATATCTGTTTAGCTCAACGATCTAAACTGGTTCGTGTCCTCCGACGGTCTGCCGCAGTATGATATAGAAGTCTGAAGGGACGACTGACAGTCTCTCATCAGGTACATGTCACCATCGCTATGACCGTGACCTTCTTCGAGACACTCGTTTATGCTCTAGGAGTCCAGGAAGGCACACAGCGTAGAAAGATTTATTAATCGCGTGATCGTGACTTAGCACGCATTTCTGATGCATGCTCATCACGCACAATGCTGTCGCAGCTGGCCAGTCTCGACCTTTAATCGGACGCCTACACCTACAAGCGCCGGGAGGTGATATGAACCGCACCCAGCACCCTGTTGCTCGGCCAAAATATGCTAACACTCTTCCGAGTTTCTCAACTTTGGGGTCTCGTGGGTGGACTGTTACTACGGGAGTGCCGCCGATTCATCTCGCAGGTGTCCTTATGTGTGCGAGCCGGGGTTGGTGCTGGCGCTCCGCCCGTAAGCGTTGGCAGGGCCGCATGCCCACGACAACAAAGCCAAGTTATGTGTCACTGTGACCTAATTTTGTACATCCCCTGCGGCGGCATGTCGCATGCTATTTTCAGCACGTCGTGCGCACCAGAATAGACCTTGACGAATAGATCCCCCAGCCCACGTGCATAACATCGACATTGTGGCACCTTCATTCGATTTCGCATGCTTGCCATTATTGCACACAATGCATATGGACGTGAGATATCTGCTGGGACTAGATAACGACTTGTCTTCGCGAATCCCCTGCAGCAGATTTTGAAAAGACATCTATAAATGCAGTGTTAAGAGCAATGATGCTGTATAGACCTGTCGGTCACTCACCTGAGGTCTGATTCATGTCAACGAGTTTTATGGCATCCCCGCGCGTGTTACGCGTCCGGTCAGTAATGACAGTCGACCCAATTGTCAAACTAGGTTCCACTGTCGCAACTTTCCACGTTCCTGGTCCATCACATTTCACGTCTTGCGCCTTTTCAAGCACCCTAGGCTCGGTTTTCTCGTCTCGATAATTTACGGAGCCAGCCCACACAGTGGCGAAAACGACGCCAATGACAGCAACCATGGTGTTGACGAGTACGATCTCGTTGACTGTCAGGACGTATACGTTTTTGTACACGACAACCAGCTGTGCGAGGGACAGGAGAGAAGGGAAGACGAAGTTGGAGATAGCAATGTAGAAAAGGGCGCGTAGCCGTTGTCCAAACGTTGCTAGATATCGTGTTAAGTCAATTTGACTCCTATAAAATTGAAAACATACTCCTCCGCGGGCTGATTTCACTCGTAACGCCTGATCTATGAATTCTTCGAAGACGGATTGCCCATAGGAAGGCTATGGAGGCATAGCTACGAAAATTCAATGCTCTGGTGCGCTCTTTAAGTTGAAACACTTACGCATTGTCGACAAGCTGAGCTGACCACTCAATCTTGAGGTAAGGAGTAGTGGCCCACACCACTGCGATGTTCTCACTCCCCAATGGGCCACGCGCAGCATCCGCAAGGACTTTAATGAAAATGAACATGTTAACGAGGCGCGCGAGTTTAAGGAGTATAGGAAGTGCGGTGACGAGGGCGAAGCGTTTGGGGCCGACAAGGGAGTAAGAGTAGATAAGTGTAAGGCGAAGTAGAAGGATGAGATCAACAAGGATTGATTGAAATGCGCCTATAATTCCAATGGCGATGTTCATCTGGACGAACACATAAGCATCAGCAGCGAAAAAAAAAGAAAACAGCGCACTGTTGGCGGCCATGGGTCCAATGGTGACAACACCGAATGAATCTGGGAGTGAATCAATATGTGTGTATATGCAAGAAACCAACGAGGGTACTAACAGCGAGACTGTCAATCATAACCCCAGCCGTGAATGCCAAAATGATCGCTACAACATTGAGAATGAATATGGGTCTTCTCCGTGAAAGTGGAGTGGAGAAATAAAAAAGAGCAATGATCAGAGGAATCAGAACGACTGTGAAGGTGTGTCCGATCATGATCGAATTGAGAGATGGCTGTATTATTGCAATGTAATTGGTCCCAGGTGGAGGCGGCGGGGGCACTAAGACAGCCGGGGAAGCTGTGGTTGTATTGCTTGCCATGTTGACTGTATGGAGTAAGTCCGTTCACTCTATAGCTTGTATTATAAGGATGTCCCAGGCACCAAGGAGGCTGGCTAAATCGAGCGTCAATGTCATGATGATCAAAAAGCACATCGCTAGTGGGAAGAATATTGGGGACGTACAATTATGCGAGGCATGGCTGTGAGGAGCTGTGAGGGCAATCAACCCAAAACTGACATTTGTATGCTTTCTGGGATCGCACAAGGAGCTTTTATGGAGGAGCGGAGCCCGCTCAACCGGCGGAAGTGGTTTCACACCATCTGAGTCGTCGCATAGCATCGCCAGCTGCAGCCTGTAAACTATGGTATTATTGGAAACCTCGCTGAAGGAAAGTATGAGCAGAAACCAATGCAAGAACAAAAGACATACCTGGCCACGATTCAGTCGTGCTTGTTGGAGCTATGTAGATAAAAAGATCGTGTGAAGAAAGGAATTGATGAATAGTTGCCACGAAGCAAATCTTGTGTGATCATCGTCATCATGATTAATAGAGACTACGGAGGTTGGGAGGACGCCAAGCCGACTCAAGTCACTTAACAAGTCCCCGCCGTTCTACCTCGTCCTCGTTCTACTAATAAGTATCATTGTTCTCCGGTACGGTGATAATCGAGCTCTCACATCGTCTGGCCAGTAATTACTTACTTCGAATGGGTTCAGAAATTTAGCAAATATGTGGGAGATGATTGGATCATCTGATGATTCTGATCTGAAGATTGTGGTAGTGACAATGTCGACTCGGAGATCTCCAATCATCATCATCTGATCAGCGCACTGGTCTCATGCATGAACTATGAAGCCGCGTTACGACTCGGGCCCATTCAATTATCTATATCAAGGAAGGATACAGGGCACATCTTATGCTCGGGCCATCAAGAAATATGTCAAATTCCGAGTTGTCGCCCACCCCCACTACGATGCGGCAGTGCGTGATCGACTACATTACCCAACTCCAAAACGACATCGTCAGTGCTCTCGAAGATGCCTCAGTCCCCCCGTGTCGGTTCAAACGCGATACCTGGTCACGTTCACAAGGAGGTGGTGGCATCTCCTGCACATTTGCCTCTTCCGCAGATGATGCCACCTACGAGAAAGCCGGAGTCAATATCTCCATGATCCATGGGACTCTGCCCCCTGCTGCGATCAAACAAATGAGCAGCGAACATTCATCCCTGGATGTCAATACTATGACTGCGCTTCCCTTCTTTGCAGGCGGCATTAGCTTAATCGTGCATCCGTGCAACCCAAATGCACCAAGTGCGCATGCGAACTACAGGTACTTTGAGGTGATGGATTCCACAGAGGAAGACGCAAAAGTCGTTGGGTGGTGGTTTGGTGGCATCACAGATCTCACGCCATCATACCTGTTCGAGGAGGACGCGAAGGAATTCCATGAGACGCTGAAGGCCGTTTGCGACGCCTATGGGACAGCCCTGTATCCCAAGTTCAAGCAGTCTTGCGACGATCATTTCTTCATTCCCCATCGCAAGGAGTATCGTGGTATTGGAGGAATTAGGTTCGACGATCTTAACGACGAGATGAACGCTATCTTAGGCTCTGTAGATGATGAAGCCCGTCCCCGCACAGCAGATGACATCTTCGCCTTCGTTCGTTCTCTCGGAGATGCATTCACCCCCTCCTATATGGGTATTCTCAATCGCCGGAAGAGCATGCCTTCTGATGAGCGCATGCGCCGTTGGCAGCTCCTTCGACGCGGGCGGTATGTTGAATTCAACCTCGTTTGCGAGAGGGGGATTAAATTTGGATTGGCTGCACCCGGCGTTAATGTGGAGAATGTGTTGATGGGAATGCCGGAAACAGCAAGATGGGAGTATATGTCAGAGATGTTTGAGGAGAGTGATTCGGCTGAAGGAAAGGTGATGGAGGTTCTCAAGTGCCCGAAGACTTGGGTCCGGGAGTGTTAGATCGATCTTACTGTATGCCTCGGTGCACGGATACTCAATAGTTTACCTGTTACAGCTTGAAAATTTTGATCGTAGTCTACCCTTCACTAACAGCTCCTGGCAGACTGACAACGGGTAAGCTCCATTCAGATAGTTCATATTCAACGTCATATTCGGAGATGCGTATCCTATCACACAGGAGGGGCGACAGAGTTTATAATATGCTGCAACCTGTAAGTAGTCAAGACTGTCGTCGCTTAACCGTTACGCCAAAAGGCAGTGATAATGAAAGCTCACGCTTCATTGTCTTGGACAGTATTTATGCTGATGATGGGAACACAGGTAAGCCAACGGGCTTACACAACCGTCATTTCAAGCGCTCGTATTCGTCATCTAACCCACAGCAAATACTTAAACCAAATCTAACAGAAGAGATTCATCTCAAATCTCGATGTAAGTCCTGTGGTACTGTGCACAGATTGCACCCCTACATCGTGCTTAGCTTTCAGCCATTGGTCGATAACTTACGAGATATCGTTATATTAATGTGGTACTATGCATGACAAGAATTTTAATGGCTGACGTTCTGCGAGGATGCATCGATTTGATCAGCACAACAGGAAACCCGAGATGAGAGACTGTGGCTCTGCGATGGAAACGCTTGGATACGGTGTGAAAATTGTTCCTTGTAGGCGCGCAGGTTCATCAATACCAACCGGACACTCCTGCCCGTGCGATAATCGGACTGCTGCTTTATGATCAGTGGGGCCCCGACGCGGTTCGTACTATCCCTTCCGGTGCAATCGGCACCCCACAGAAGTCGGCAGGTCACACATTTTGGCGGGAAAATGTGACACTTTTGTTTCAATTGGTCACATGCAGTCACACAAAACCCTGCGAAAAAGCGTGACCGCCGACTTCTCACATCGGGGTTATCGACATTTGGGAGAAGGTTTTAATGTTGGTTTTTGGGCAAAACTTCAAGCTTTAAGTTTCATCCATGGCGTACAACATTTAAACCTGCCCTAAATGTTGATAACCCCGATGTGTCTGCGGGGTGCCGATTGCACCGGAAGGGATAGGTACTTAAGTGCTTAAGTGCTTAAGCTTTATGTAAGAGTACGTAAATATCTCGTTCAGAAGTCTTCCCTTGACTTTGCAGACTCCTTTTGGAAGTTTGCGGCGTCGTGGTTTACTAGTTTTCGTTGGCGGGCAGGATCCCATTATGCCGCCCCCAACCGTATAAAAACGTTTTCAAATGTACGAACAGAGGATGAGCATTTCACTTCGAATTTTGAAATCCCCCAGCTCTCAGAGCAATATCCAGACTTTGTCTGACCACATTCTCCTTAATCAACGTTATCCCCTCTGGTATGTCGAGCACACCTCTCCAAAGAACAAGAATATCATTGCTGACCCGCAGAACAGCCTACATTCGATCATTCTCAGAAGTGCATCTAATAGCTTCTGTCCCCCAACGATCAACCGTCTTATACATGCCTCCCTATATAATTCCCGTGCATCCAGAAACCTTTTTTCGAGTCGAACAAAGCGGGCAACCAGTTGTCGTGTATGAGTGCAAATTACAGGGGGACATCTGCGGCATGTCTGTGGAAGGAACGCCCGGTGCAATGTCTGCCCATATGAAATGGCACGGCATCACTGGTCCAGAAAGTGCCAGTGAACGTTGCTCGTGGGGCGACTGTTCCAAAACAATCAAGAAGGGAAGCATGCCGAGGCACATCCTTACTCACCTTGGAGTAAAAGTGCGCTGCTCAGTGTGCCGAGTCGTGAAGTGCCGTCATTATCTTGTCCATGCACATATCCGATCCTCGGAATTGTGCCAATTGGCGTCCGCTGAGATAGTTCACGGACGCGAAGGACGTCTCCTTGTCCCCACGAGCTGGGCCGCTGCACATCAGGTCTAGTCATCATTATATCTGCCGCGCCTACCGAATTCGTTAATTTACGTTAGAGATGTAGGCTTGAAGACTACATAGTAGCGAACATTTTATGCTTACGAATCGGGGTGGAGTTGGGATCGGGATTGAGGATTGAGGATTGAGGATTAGCTGCCACACGGTTAATTCCATGGTTGTAGAACACTTGATGTCATATTCTTACTTTGTTTCAATGCATCGCCCATCCGGCAAGAGAACCGGATAGGGCACAATTGCTGTAAGTGGCGGTTGCCATTTTCCAGTAGAATTCAATCCCCGGAGATCTGAAACAAAACGCTCCTTGCAATAGTGTTCTTGACGAAGGATTCTAAATCATAAACCACATAAATTTCCAATCTTGTAAATTTGCTGTGTTACTTGCAAGAGATCTGTACTCACGTAAGTATACAGCAAGAATGATTGTATTCGTGCTCGCTGTGTCCGGGCTTATTATTCAGCGGAGGAGCACTAGGTCCTCGTCAAAAAGTTTTCCAGCGTAATGAATTCGAGAGATAAGGTAACGTAAAGTGTTTGCGGGTGTATCTTCGCCCTTGGCATTGAACAACGCAACTACGACCGAAGGGATTCGCGAGATGGAGCGACTTGCTGCGAGGATATAATGTTTGTAGACAAACAAGCTGCCAATGATACTCAGCACGAGCACGACAACCCTCCAACAAGTTGTTGAGTTATGAGAGGCGGGCGGGTGGGTATGAGGCCGAAAGCACAAGGAACAGAAGGAAACGTGCGGTGCAACACGTATAAAGTCGAGCGCGATGCGAGTCTCAAACTCTGGCTAGCTCTGCTCAAGCTTGGATAAGGGTATTTTTATCTTCTCGTCTCCTTCGGAGTCATCATATTCGGAAAGCGTCGAAAGCACATTGGATGGAATTATATGCCCAGGAGACGAGGGAGGAGCATCAAGAGATTCCAGATTCCTGTCATCCCAAGAAAATGCAGGTAATACGTATGGTAGGACCTGAAAACCCGGCAGCGGACCGTCCCAGCTGCTAGGGATTATCGAGCTACAGGACAATGATGCAGACAACCTGAAAGTGGAAGGGAGCAGCGCCATATCTATCTGACGAAGCAGCTCCTTTCCCTCTTGTTCACGGTGTAGCGGGGCGTGCCGGCGGGACGTTCCATAGGATCGATCAGCTGGATTAGGCAGGGCGGAGGATAGACCAGCAGATAGGAGGCAGCGAGGTAGAGAGAGGTGCCAGAGGCTCGGCAGTGCTCGGGGTCATGACTATAATCACATATGTAGAACACGCGTAACAACAACAACAACAGACAGCAGACTCGGTTCTCCTTCCTCTCGTGAAGGGCAGAGCTGGCCGGTCCAACGGATAGAAAACTCGGGAAGGGGGATGGACTTTGGAAGCTGGAACAATGCTCGCGCATCTCGAAATACTGAATACCGCGCCTTCGATGTGCTTGAACTGAGATATCTGTTTTATTGAAGCATCGAATAAACAAATAAAAACAGGGCTGACCTTGTCCTCGAGTTGCAGCAATTTATTTGTATATGTTGTTCCGACCGGCCCCTCTGCTTTTTCCGCGCAATATACAATATCACTGTATCGCGGACTTGATTTACGTCGTTTCCAAAAACTGGTTAAAACTGCAAAGACCTATTGCTCGTTAAAAATGTTTTCAATGATGCAGGATGATGAACACGCACTTCCATCATTGTATCCCCTTTGAAAAAGCCTGCCGAGTTCACCCTTCGGGCTTAGATACGTTAGGTTCTGGATTGAGATCGGGGGAAAAGTTTAGTGAGCTGACTGTCCGAGAGCAGTACGCGATAGTGATAGTCGTTATACAGGTCAGTGGAAAGATTTGTATCCAATTTGCAGGGTATGTGTCGTTGGATAATTACGGACGTGAGACTCTGAGTCTTACGTCTGTTCCTGAGGAGCGGAGCGCATCAAGAATCAGAAGCCACGCATCCGAGTATCCTCTGACCACAAGGACGTCATTTTGTTGCAGATTTGTACATGATTCAAGATAGCGAATAGGTGATCTGGTACCGTAACGCACGTTCGTCCATCAAGCGCCATAGTCAACTAATTTAAGGACGTATCATTCGCTGCGTGTGACAGTGCCGTAGGCCACGGGAATGAAGTCTCCCCGCTTTCACATCGAGGACGAGACCAATGGAGACGAGTACCCTTCATATCTCGACGCAGCCTCCAGCGGTCCCAGTTCGAACTTGGAAATAAGACGTATAAGCAACTTGGATTATTACAGCCAATGATAACGATAAAACCTTGTAGTCCATGGAGATGCAGGGCAGGGCAGCCGAAGTAACTGCGCGAATCCAACTACATGCTGTACAAAAGTACAACGTTGCGTGGGATGCGGGCGTAAATGAGAAGTGAATTCGGGCAAATACGAGGTATATTTTGTATTATTAGTCGATTGGTGTGCGAATTAGGACGCCGCGAAATGAGTTCGATGCGAGTGTTGTCACAGATCGGAACCAATTGTGCACGCGGTCAGATTGTGGCCAACAGTTCGCAGCTCCGCGAACGGAATTCCAGATCGCGACGTCCCGGCGCCGTGATGTATGAAGGGTGAGACCTAAGAATATGTCGCAGATTATGACGACGACTTGGAGGTTCTGGGATGCACAGAAATACAAAATATAGTTCCAAAAGGAAGAGAGACACAGAATATAGAGGTCCAATGCGCAACGGGACAACGAGTTAAAGAGGCCCAGACCCCTTCCAACACATGCTAGGTCTGTGTATCGCCTGATGGCGAAGTGAACACTTGGTCATCGGGCTCCGAGTCATCAGAGTACTCGGAGAGCAACGACAGTGCTGTATCTCGGCGGGTACGAGTGAGAACGGAATGTTCTATTGGTTTATCTTCCTCGGCTCGTGGTAAATCATTTTTACCCTCCCAGCTGAGACGTACTGACGAGCTGTAAGTCGACGGCACTGACGAAAGACGATTCGATGCAGCAGACGATGTGTAATTCGATGCGGAAGAAGCAGCAGGGCTGTAAGTCGACGGCACTGATGAAAGACGATTCGATGCAGCAGAGGATGTGTAATTTGATGCGGAAGAAGCAGCAGGGCTCGACGGTATAACAGAGGACAACTCCCACTCCAATTTTCGACGCTGCTCGTTTTCTTGTTGACGGACGATGGACATGGGGATGGGGATGTGCTCAGACTTTCGAAGTTGGAATAAAGCTCGAGCGTCTCTCCAGGCTGGATGTAATGCCTCTATGTCCTTGAACTAACAGTCGTCTCAACGCCAGTCAACACGCCGAGAAAAAGCCAGACACACCTTCCGCTCCAATTTTTCTAATTTCTCGTGTATATGTTGTTCAGAGCGACCCTTGTTCCTTTTGGCAACAATGTACATTATCACTGCATCTCGGACAGTGTTGACATCATTCCCTGAGCTAGCGATAATTGCAATGATCTTCCAACCATGAGAGTGGTTTCATTTGCATATGCCTATAGAAACTCACTTCCATGCTTGTATCTCCCTTAAAAAAGCCACTTGGGGTCATGTTTCGAGGACGTCTCTGCGGTTCGGTTGGGAATGATGTAGGTGGGGAACAAGTGAAGCATAGACCTGTGCATCCAAGGTTATAAGCGCTAATGAAATGCCAATTCTAGACTAGGTCCAGAGGCTGTTCCTGACTCAGTCAATACTGGACGGATGCGCATATTTCTTCCTCAGGGCGGCAAGACACACCTCCGTCCGTAAATCACGAGTTTCGGGTCACGTCACAGCAAAGGTACAGCATGCTCACAGCATCCCACCCACGTTCCTTGAGGGTGAGAGGGCAAAGATGGATAAGCGCTCTTCGCGTGAAGGTTTGTTGTTTGACTGCGCCGCAGCGATCCCAAATGGACAGCCGAATCCAATGATTTTTGTAACAAGCGCCCGAAATGGTTATGTCGAAACGAGAGTTAAGGAGATATCAGGGTTGTCGGGTTAACGCAAAAAACGGGCTAGAAATAACGCACAGAGCAGATCGATAAGCCGCCACTGGTGGCAAGTGTGTATATAGTATGGTAGAGTGAAACGCAGAACGTACACAATAACATGTTGTCTACTGTTCTCTGTGTAACTGCTGATGCTGGCGCAGCACGGGAAGGCTACACACTTGCTGTTCAGAACGGTAGGAAGCAAATTGACATATGTCTTCTGTGCTTACGTAACGAAATAGAAGATACATTTAGCCCGATCGGATCTAGCAGTTGTTCATCTTCCCCGCACCGCACAGCGCCATGCTCACCCGCCCTCTCCGTCGCCTCCTAACCCGTCCGACTGTCGTTTCACACTTTCACAGCTTTCAACCATGTTGGTCCTCAAGAAGAGTTCTACAAAAGTTCAAGCTTGCTGACATTGGCGAGGGCATCACAGAGTGCGAGGTCATCAAATGGTGCGTCGGCCGGACCTTGCAAATATCGTTTCCCCCCCACCAAATTCATAACCTAGGAATGTGAAGGAACTTGGCACCGTCCAAAGCTTTGACCCATTGTGCGAGGTTCAGAGCGATAAAGCCAGCGTCGAAATCACGAGCCCATTCGATGGTGTAGTGAAAGAGATTCTGGTGAAGGAAGGTGAAGTCGCAAAGGTCGGCGAAGGGCTCTGTGTCATCGAGGTTGACGAGGAATCACTTGATAGTCCCAGCGAGGAGCAGATAGATCCTGAATCGTCGTCTGAGCCAGTGCCGTCGCAAATAATTACAGACTTCAAGTCTGTGGAAGATGCTACCTCTCAGGCCAAACAGTTCCGCGAGGAGCCATCTGCACCAAGACGGTTGCACCCCATGGACCCGAATTACTCAATTCCTTCCGTTTCTAATGTAAACTCCGAGAACGTCCTCGCAAAGCCCTCAGTCCGTCATTATGCTCGCCAGTCCAAGGTTGACCTTGCACTTCTCCCCCCAGGTAGTGGACGTGACGGACGCATCGAGAAGAAGGATATCGATGCATTTCTATCTCAGCAAGTATCTTCTGTTTCAGTAGACTCTGGTTCGCTTCTACAAGCCCAACAAGACGTGATCGTAGAGCTCGGTCGGACGCGTTACGGCATGTGGAAAGCTATGACCCAGAGCCTCGAGGTTCCACACTTCGGGTATGATTTCCTTTCAATCACCATTCGTTGTCGCTTATTCTTTGTCAGCTACTCGACTTCCCTCGACCTCACGTCTCTTCATTCCCTCCTCCCAACCCTCAATGCACATATACCCGGACACTTTAATCCCTCTGGGTCACCCCCACTTGCAGTTAACCCATCCGCTCTACACCCAGCACCATCTCCTCCTCCAGTACCAGAAAGCGCCCAATTCACCCGTCTCACATACCTCCCCATTCTCTTAAAGACGCTTGCAAAAGCCATGATGGAATGGCCGATACTCCGTTCCTCCATCACGCCAGGCAGCATAGATGGAGGAGGCAAACCCACCCTTACGATCCGTCCGCACGCAGACATCGCTATCGCTCTGAGCACCCCGACAGGCTTATACACACCTGTCATACCCCACGCAGATACGCACAGCATCTACAGCCTTTCTTCTCAACTCAAGCACATTTCTTTCCTCGGTCGTCAGGTACCATGCGCACTCACGATGAACGAGATGCCGAAACGCGGTGCGACAGTCACAGTGTCTAATATAGGTGCCATCGGCGACGGGGAGTACGCGCACCCTGTTTTAGTGCCTGGAGGTGGTGTCGCCATCGTCGCCATAGGGAGAGCAAGATGGGTATGGGACGTCAGCAAGAGCGAGCATGGCGAGAGGCGGCTCAAGGTTGGCATAAGCTGGAGTGGGGATCATCGTGTGATGGAAGGTGCAGAGTTGGCTGCGTTCGTGGAGTCCTGGAGGGCGTATGTGGAGGCACCTGAACGACTTATTGGAGAAGGAATTTGAGCCGAGCACAAATGACTGTCAGAGGTCGGATGAGAAGCGCACATAAGCTGTAAATTGGTTGACTTGAACCGACGCTTACACTATCGCTTTGCCATTATGATATGGAGCACGCATATTGGTATCATAATTCCTTACATCGTTGTGATTACAGGAATTCATTCTCGGGTCGGCACAATGGATCGTTTAACCTCCATGTCATCTCCGTAATGAAAAAATTGTTTGAAGATAACTTATCGTCACAGCGAATCCAGATTCCACATAGTAATACTTATGCGGACCCGCGTCTGATCCACAATGACTTCACCTATCTATGGTCAAATGAAACGAGCGTGTATTACATATATATGACATACGTTACAGGGATCCGATAAATCAGCTCTACAGTATGAATATACTAACATGCAACTTGAACCTTGACCGATATGAGGCGATGCGTGCATATAGTACTGCTATACTATACAGGGACGAGGGGGAATGAACATGGGTGCTACATAAAAAGACGGGAGAATGGGCGTTACGTCGTGGGTGATAAGGGGGGGAGCATGCAGTGAAGGGAAGGGAAGAACGAGTGACTGATGAGAGAGCAGTGCGTAAAAATGAATGATGTCATGCGGCGGTTTCGCTTGCCAAGCCTCTAATAAGAAGAAACATTCTCTGAGATTGCAACCTCGATGCCAGCGGTCCGCAACACCTGAATGAGCTGGTGCGTTGTGCCATCGCTGTCGGCAACATCCGCTACTACGATGGCGCGCATCGAAGGAGATTTGGAGTCGCGGACGGTACGGAGTGGGAGGCAAGCCGATAACGTGGCGATCGTCGATGCGTCTGCGTCTTTGAATTTCAACTCGCGAAGACTGGGGCAGAGCGATGCGGTGATCAGGTCTAGAGCGATTTCTTGCACCGGCAGGTTCGCTTTGTCTAGACCAGATAGTATGAGATGATCAAGAGTCGTGGTTTCCTGCAGAAAGCAGCGCAAAGAAGCATCACATGATGTAAGGCCATGGAGCTCCAAAGAACTCAGCAAAGATAAGGGATATGGACCGCATGTTGAGCATGGGAATGAATGAGACGAGGTTGTACAAGACCCGTGGTGAGCTGCCGTGAGGTATTCCAGAAGACGAGATGCATCGCATGGGTGGGACGGATCTAGTGAGGAGGAAATATCCTCCAGCGAAAGCGTTCTGAGGGCAGTGAAGTGAAAGAGCGACAGAAGATCGATAGCATAATCGACGTCGATAAATCCAAATGCGAAGTGTCGCAAATGAGGAAGGTGGAGAGTGCGCTGCTTGGCCAGCGACGTCTACGTCTATCTGAGGACCCCAGCCTAGGATGCTCAATCGCTCGAGTTCGGGACATGCAGATATGATGTCACAAAACTCGTGCAATGTCGGCATCACCTCGCTCGCGTGATACTTGAGTTCGAGTTCCAACAGACCAGACAATCCTGAATTTGTCCAGTTCACGTGCACACCGGCAAGGGAAACCCGACGAAGGCTGTGAAACGCAGAACCTCCCCCAAACCAGGACACAGGTTGCCTCATCGCAGAAGGGCGGAAGAGCTCGCCCTTTGCAGCAAAGAAGGCGTTACAGCGGGAAAGAATGACATCTTGTAGCATAGGAGCTGATTTTATGCGGGATGTATAGGAGAGGAAGGTAAAAATAGGAGCCCAGGTATCTGTGAGAAGTTCGACCTTCTGCCACCTGTGGACATGGGGTAAGATAAGTCGCATAACATTTTCCATATTTTTCCAGCCGAAGCAGTGGGATGCTTCGTCCCAATTCCATGCTAGATCACGGAAATCCATGTATAGATGCAACGGGCGGGAACGGGAACGCACAAGCCAGTCGATAGTACGAAAGAGTTGATTGCGACGAGTAGGAAAGGTGAGAACGATGACGGTCCATAGTGATGCGGTTGAAAGAGAGACGTTTCGCCAGTGTTGGCAGACATGAGAGATTGTAGTAGCCTGAAATATAGCGTCATAACAGTCATGAAAATCGTGCGTTGCGACATGAAAGATAGCGGACAGCAGTTCATCTGGAATTGCTGCGATCGTTGATGTAGACGTGGTTCCGTGTAGATGGCGTGCTGCGTTCAACTTGTGAACGTTGACGAGAGAACAACTTGACACCCTGTTTGACGTTACTAAGGAAGGCATCTGAATCAAAGTCTGTGATCAGCAGTAGGTTGACGTGCATGATACATGAATGTTATACTGACCTTGAGGGTGTCGAGAAGGAAACGGTTCAACAGTTGACGGCAGTTGGAACTGTTTAGACGTGGGGGGAGGGCATCTGAGTTTCGTTTATTAAAAGGTTCAGCGCTTCCTAATCATTCCAATTTCTCGCGATTGGCGTAATATCTAAAATTTGACAAATAGGATGAGCGGTGCGTGAATATGGCAAGTGCGTACCAAACGATCGCGGGGATAGGCAGCGTGTAAGACATGTGCCTCTGCTTCTCTCATTTGAGAGGAAGGCACGAGAGGGTTTATGGGCGTCTGTGATATATGTGGCAGTAGGTCCTTGGTCTCACACGCCTGCAGCTGGCGTCAGCCTCGACGGTTGTCTCACGCACATGTCGCCGCCCTATTTGGCACAAGGTCCGCCTCGAGGCAGCAACTGTCAGGGCTTTTGGCTGGCGATCACGTCGCAGCCGATAAGTTCGAATAGTTTCAAACTCCGAGAGCAAGGAAGTAACCCCTACGTTTCGGAATCGAACGACGAAACCGTCGTATACTCGCAACATGCAATTGTTTGCGAACAAGTATTCTATGTTCAACAAGAGCTCCGACGACGATGGACTAATAATATGAGCTAATGCTCCATGAAACATGCGTAAAACGGCCGGCATCTAGTTTGTGGGTGACTGTTTTCCATCAAAAACGTACATGGGCGCGCTACTCGACAGGCGATGCCTCGTTGTAGGGAACCGGAGGAGTTACCCTAGAATTTTTGCGGATGGACCAACGAGATCCCCAATGATGCTGGCCCAGCAGCATGAGCCATTGTTCCATGAAGCACATCAAAATCGTGATAGTTACGGGCGACTGACCCCCACCAAAAGCATGAAATCACGGCGCGTGCACAGGTAATGCCTCGTGCAGGCAACCGGAATTACCACCCTCAGGGGACTGTTTCTGCATCGATTGCGGAAAAGAAATGAATGTTTGCGTACAGGATATAATCAGACGGGCGCCCGTTGCACTATTAATGGTGATTCGGGACCAGCAAAGCGGTTGTTCGGAACGATTGACTGAGATAGGTGAGTAAAGAGAAAGAAGAGCACGAACGAATATACAATGTCTGTGGGAGACATGCATATTTCCCTATGGATCACTATCCTCGTGACTGTTAAGTACCACCCGGATGCGTATTAATGGCTGAGGTGATCACGGGGCCAGAGATGCTTCTCACCAATGTCCACCGACACCGGCGACGTGCTGGATGTATTGAAGGACGCTGAGGGAAGGGAAAATTTAGTAATTCCATTCAATTTTCCCCAGTGACAAGGAGATCGATGATCCGTTGTAGAGGCCAACACCCACGCTGCCAGTGGCCTCGGGGACATCCTGAATCCTGATGACGTCCACGTAGATTTTAGGTACACAGGTTATTACACATAAGAACGGGGCGTTGTTAGACCCCTTCTGTGATATCCTTTGTCTTGTCGTTCTGAACATGGGCGCAACAGGAGAAATCGGTGGTGCCGCTTAGATCCACGTTCTAATCGGGTCAGTTTAAAAATTATGTGCATGTGCATGAAGTTCCTATCCGTTATCAGTTACGATGCTGAACCATCAAGGCAAAGGAATCGGACGAAGTGAAGTTCGACGATCTCCTTTGTGCGTCAAAGTGGACATCTACGTCGTCTGCATTCCTCTCGGACCTTTGCCTGGACCTTTCGGCGTAGTGGTATCCTTCATGGGAAGGACTTTACTGAAAAACAACCGTGATCAACGGGTAGAAGACGAAGAACTGTCAAGCATTTTCACCTGCTATGGTTATGTTGGATCCAATATCAATTTGGAAGCTGGATGATATCTTAACGCGCGCTGTCATATGCGCCGTCGTACGTGATGGGTCTGCTCCAGAGCGGTCACGTGTGATGTTGATGTTTTAGTAACGCGTTGTTTTTACGGTACTGCGCCCACAGAACCAAACAAGCTTAAGGACGTTCAGACTGAAACTTAAGGCGATGAGGCCTAAGGGTCGGTTTCTCTAGACTGGTGAGCAGTCCGTGCTATGAGGCAAATCCTTGCCTCATAGACAGAATGGTCGCGATTCTATGGTTTCTCTTGCGCGAGAGCTTGTCACCATAAATCATCTCTCGTCACTTAGGTATGTCTGGCGTCATTCTTTGGACCAATCCGTTGTTCACTGACCTGATTGCTGCTTGCTAGAGATGCCATTTCATCTACCAATACAAGGCATTAACGAGTTTTCACTGCTGAATGATTTCTCAGACGACCGTCAGGCAAGACCATGACGTTCTCGTTATCAAGCAAATCAACTTAGATTCAATAACGACTCGGACACTGACCGCGATTCACGGCTGTTCGTGACGCTTTCTTCTTTGCTACTTTTGCTTGCTTGATCACTCCGAATCTCGACGACTTGTTTTAATACGATCACGAGTGGCCGCATACGACGTTGTTGAAGACCGTTTATTCATATCACGTACGACAGAGACAATTACCTCCTCTTACTATGACCAACCTAACACTACATACTCGGACCCGTTCTCCATCACCCCTCGCAACTCCTGCCCTAGTATTTCCTCTGCAAACGAAGCAAAAAGACGGTCAACGTAGTCTACTTCGATATGTTTTACACCATACACATCAGACGCGAACGGATTAATTGCATGCAATATGCGTGAACTAGTCTGCCGATCTACTCACGGCCAGATGTGCAATGTATGGGAAAAAACTGTATGAAATCTACTATGCTCTAATCGTACCCTAAAAGTCTAATGAAAAATGCATCTACCTTGCAAGTCGTGAAAATAAATAGTCGTGACTCGTGAATAAGTCGTCAACAAAAACGGTCGTCAAAAGAAATAGAAACTACACAAGTAAATCCGCTAGGTCAGCTTTGTCGCTCGCTATACCCTATTGGTCACATCTACATCGTTGAGCTTTTCGTCAAAGTGTGTGCTGTGTTGAGCAGGATGTACGGGGTCGCTGTGTTTTGGTTGGGGTATGTGGTCCGTACTGCGGTCGTAGAAGATTGATACTGAAATGATTTCAAGAGCGACAAGTCCCAAGAGGAACCAGAAGGCCGCGGATCGACCACTGTACTCAAGTGAACCTCCATGGGTGGCTTCCACGGATGTCTCTATTGAGCTGACAGCAGCGAGGCCAATAGCTGATCCGAATTGAAGCGCGCCGTTAAAGATGGCACCAACTGTGCCGGCCATGGATGAAGGTGCAGCTTGAAAAATAGCAATGCTGTGAAGCACTTAAAATGCGTCCATAAAGGCATGATTTAGAACTTACTTCGTATGTGTATAGGCCAGCATAGCCCCTCCGCTTCCTAGAGTCAAAGCTGGGAAGATATATGGCCAGTAATCCTGGGGGTTCCCTCCACCGAGTGCCAGCAATACCGTCGCAACCATGCACAAGGATAGACCAGTGAGAATAATCCATTTCGGACTGAAAATGCGAGAAAGTGGTCCGGTGAAACTTATAATGAGGGCTATGATGCCGATCGGGAGCCTGGTGAGCAAAAAATTACGTATCAATGATGGGCAACATGGAGTGACAGCGAGGCACCTACATGTGTACAGCCGACGATATTACCGACCAGTGAAACACATTTTGCCACAGGGTAGTAAAAATCGTGAACACTGTGCTCCACCAAAAGAATGGCAAGAGTGCGGCGGCGAAAAGAATGGAGAAATTGTGGTAAAACCATGTCCGGGGTGGTCTGGTCTAAGGTGAGCCAATGATTGGTGATTGGAGCATCCCCGATAACGTACATTGCAGCTTTTTCCACCGGCATAAGTGTTTCCCAGTAGAAAAACCCAACCACCATTGAAAGTGAGATAATGAGTGGGACCAACACAATTGCGGATGCCCAACCATCTGTGGAACCGGATGTCACAGCGAAGACGAATAAGATTAAGGCAACTACGACGGCTCGTGAGCGATGCGAAGTAGAGTATGCTGGAACGTTCATACCGGTTAAAATGCTTACGCCGACTAAATCAAGACATTTCCATTTCGCTTCTGTAGGCTCAAGGGTGTCTGTAGTCTCTGCAATTTGTGGCGGTATGATGAAGACACATCCCAGAGCTACCGGCACAGCCACAAAGGTTACAAACCAGAATACCCAATGGTAAGACGCCCATTCAACGAACATTGCACCAATCAAAAGACCGAGAACTGTGTAGGGAAACCATGAAGTCCGTTATGAATGATCGGTTACGTGGGACCCTCACCGTTAGCAACGCAACCACAGCCTCCAAATACGCCTATTGCCCGGGCTTGTTCAAGCGGATCAGGAAATACTTTGACCAAGAGTGTTAAAGCGGAGGGGATTATCATTGAGGAAGCTAAGAAGCGATCTTCGTTCAGCCAAAACCAACACACCAGCGGGAATGCTCACCTATTCCGGTCAATGCTCTGAGAACGATGATCGGAATGGTGGTATCAACGAATCCCGCGCCCAGCGAGATAACAGCAAGACCAGATACTCCTCCAATGAACACAGTTTCTGTGTGCCTGTTAAAATCCCTATCCAACAGGGGCGGCAAAGCACTAACTTGGATTGTATACGTCACTAATACGGCCACTCTAAACAACGCGTTGAAGTGCAGGTCAGATTAACGGGATGAGCACGCACGATAAGTAGGAAGGATGCAAAAGTTAACTGGAATGCGCTGATGATCCAAGTGGATTGACTTTCAGCCATACCCATGGACACTTCCATTGTAGGGATCACAGAGAAGAGAGCTGAGTTATTGAAGGAATCCAGAAACTGAGCAAGACAGAACATAACCAGCAAAATAAGCCTGCGAGTAGAAGAAAGTAGGTTGGGTTCATATTCAACCCGCGTTTCAGCCGGGGAGAGTGGTGGAAGTGGCAACATCGCACCCGAAAGCTGCAGACAAAGTATTGTGGTCTGGCAGTTTAGGAGCGCGCTAGCTGGTGAAGGGGTGGTTTGGAACGATCTCTGTCGAAATGGGAGGATAGGTCAACATTATAAGTGGTGTCTTCAAATACATGACTCATTCCCAATGTCTGTGAAAGATCTCGATTATGTGCAGGGGTTTCAGATATGAGCCATTCTCGAATCACTTGTAGTACTAACAGTGATTCGGGACCGTACACAGGTTATTAAACAT